CCCCCCCCCCCTGCAGCTTGGTCCCACTTAGGAAGGTGAGAAATTCTGCATTGTCTCTGAAAACATCAAATAAATCTTGCTGTGTTTCTTACTATTGAAAAACCTCTCAAAATGTTCTAAGTGGGAGGTAGGTAGGCCAACAGCAAACAGGAAATGCATTGACAGTGTTTAGATACCATCATGATGGGTCTGACGGAAAAATGTAGATTTTAAAGTGAGAAGCAATTGTGGCAGTCATTTGCTTTACTTCCTGCACGAAATAGGTCAGATAATTTTACCCAGTGGGTGTCTTTTGGAAAGTTAGGTACTTGATCTTAAGGTGCTCTGGAGTCTTAATTTCTCCATGGGCAAAGGAGGATGTTTTCCATGTGTGGAGGGTGTTTTTCTGTTGCACAGTCAGTTGGTTTCTGTTCCTATTTGTGTGTGTTCTAATAGACTTTTGGGGTCATAATTTCAAAATAAGTGATTTCTCCTGGACATAGTAAGAAGTTATTTTCAAAATAAAAGTTCTCTTTTCTGGACATGTATCAAGTCTTTCCATAGAATGATTAAAAAACCAAAAGCATATCAGACAGCAGATGGAACTATTGCATCTAGCTAGTTCTTGGGCCACTCTATCCAGAATGTATAGGAAGGCAGATGTGGAGCACACAAATTGGTGCTACATCCTTGGCAGCCTTTGAAAGCTCTGGGGTCCCCAGCACAGGAGGGACTTGGACCTGTTGGAGAGAGTCCAGAGGAGGCCACAGAGATGGTCAGAGGGTGATGGAGCAGCTCTGCTGGGAGGAAAGGCTGAGAGAATGGGGATTGTTCAGCCTGGGGAAGAGAAGCTTCAGGGTGACCTAACTGTGGCCTTCCAGTACCTGAAGGAAACTTACAGGAGAGAGGGAGAGGAACTATTTACAAGGGTGTCAGGACAAAGGAGAATGGCTTCTCACTGACAGAGAGTAGGTGTAGATATTTGTAAGAGGAAACATGATGTGTTTAGCCACGTTAAGAAATGGAGGTGTTCCTCCTTAGGAGTGCATCATTTATTTCACAGTTTAATGGCATGCAGATAAAATAATAGCATAATAAAGTTAAAAATAAACAACATAAAGCTAAACACAGAAGAAAGTTAAAAATAAACAATTTCTCTTTTTTTATGTTTCAGGGGTCAAATCTGACCGATATCTGCACGCAGCTCTTGCTGCAAGGGACTTTGTTAAAAATCTCAGCAGGGAACATCCAGGAGAGAATGTTCTTTCTGTTTGATAATCTACTGGTCTATTGCAAGAGGAAATCCAGGTGAGTCCCTCCGTGTTTTGGGGTTTATAAGGGGACTATTCGGATTTGTCAGGAGAAGGTGTGACCAGTTACTGCTCATTCCCTGTTGCTCTGAACAGGTGAGACCTTCCTGTTCTTGACTATTGCTTAGGCAATAGGGAAGAGAAGTCACTGTAGATAAATATTCCAGGCAGTAACAGAGTCCCCCCTCAACCCCTGAGAAGTCCAAAGAAAGGAGTTAAACCAGTGCAGCAAAAGCACAGGGTTATTTCTTGCAGATGAAGAGCTTCCCAGGGCAGATGGGTCTTCAGGAGTGATGTGAAAGTGCCAGCTTTCATTGTGGGATTGTTCCAAGCAGAAGAGGGTGATGTGAAAAAATGATCTCAAACCAAGCAAGGGGAGAGTGGAAGACTAAGAAAACATTCACTAGATGCAGGGCCCAGGGGAGTGAGGAAGAGGTGAAGATTTGCAAGTTGCTGTCAGCATTTGCAACCCATGTGCTCTGTGCATTGTCTTTCTTTCCTATCCTAGTAACAATTTTTGCATCATGCCACCTAAGAAACCCTAATTATTATTAACACCTACTGCTTGTTATTAAAATAGCATTGGCAAGTGGAGGACAACTCACTTCTGCAGCAATTATACCATGTTTCAGTTGCTAAGCTTTTTACCTTCGCATTTCCAGTCTCATATCTTGGTCTGCTCTCAATTTACAATGCATTCTCTACACTCCCTTCTCCTCTTCCTTCCTTTCCTCTAATATCCTCCTCCTGTTTCAAGTTATGCTTCCTTACTGGTGATGGCCAAGTGGAATGGCAAACCCAGCTAGAAATTCTGTCAAACCAGAGTGTTCTCTCCAAAGAAAATTCTTATATCTCAAAATTCCCCCCCACCTTTTTTTTTTTTTGGTTTGTTGGAAAATCTTAGAACTATTACAGTGGGCAAAATTAATTTCAGTAATATTCAGACTTTTTTGTGTGTATAATGCTGAATCTATACTACATAAATACAAATTATTAGGTGACATCTACATTAGAAATTATTAGAATGAAATATGTTTGAATTAAATTTAGAAACATATATACATCATTCAGTCTTAAATGGCTTTTAATGTTATCTACCTGAAGCATTCTGACTCTGAAATGAGGTAAGGGAGAGGATGCATTTCATTGGGAAAATTTACCTGATTTGTCAAAATGAAAACTTCTTTATGAAACAGAGTTCAGAAGTTTGTGTGTTTTATGACAGAAAACTATTCCTTAAAAAAAACCCAAACAGTTAATTTGATACTTTTTTTTTCTTCTTCAGAGCTCTTTGAAGCTGTTTTTCTAGTCCTGTTTGTAGTTCAGGTCAGGCTGGCTCCAGCACTGGCCAGGCAGTTTTCCCAGAGCACTAAGATTTAGAAAACAAAGTGTTCTGCTGCCTTTTAAGCAGAACTTTCTTTTTGTGCAGGAGACATTACTGAGCTCCTCTGTCATTTGGCTTGATTTTGGAGGAGGCTGCTGTAACACTTGGATTTTCCCAAGGGATCAATATTGTTTATCTTTGTCTGACAATGCAGCTTGAACTGATGGATGTCCAGAATCTGATTTCCATTAAAAAGCATAATATTTCATTATGTCTGCTGGGAATTGCCTAATGTAAAAGATATATTTAGATCACTGAATGACTTTAATTTTGGATATTTCTGCTGTCTGGCTGCTATTTATAATCAGTCCAGGATGGAAATCAATGTCTTTTCCTTTGTGCTGTTGTGCCCAGTGGCTGCTTGACAAACAGTGACATGTTAGTGAGACACACCTTAAAAAAAACCCAAACCCCCAAAAACTTTGTCTGTTCCTATTTGAGACTGAATAACTTGTACTGTACTAACTTGTAGAAATCACTGAAGGTTTTTTTGATACAAAAGTGGAAGGAGAATTCAGGCCTCAATCTTTGATAAGTAGTCAATGCAGCATTTGAATCTGGACATCATATTTTTTCCCTATATTATAAGGTAGGAGTAGTGTTGTCGAGACCAATGTGAGCTCTGTTTAGAACTGGAATTAGATCTGGGATTTTAGCTCAAAGACTGCAATCACTCCTTTTGCAGAAGCTGAGGGAAGTCTGGCAAACTGATGACATAGATTTTCGGGGCTGAGTATTGTTTTTTTTGTTTTTAGCAGGATCACAGACTGCTGTTTAAATTGAATCCCGATGTCAAGAACAATATGTTTCACGTGGGGAAATAAGCTGAGTGTCTAAAGGGTTTCCCTAGGGCTGCCAGGACAGCTTTTCTTTTGACTTCCACAGTCATCTTTAGGAAATGATCCAATGGCTCCAAGATCTCGGTCCCTGTCAGCCTGATTGGATGTAAATATGTGGTTGTCACCAAATGTATATTTGTCACTCAAGCTAGGTGTAACAGAAAAAAATGTTTGAGAAAACTTGGTGATTCTCCTCTCACCTCAGCTTATCATAGGTATTTAACTCTGACAAGAAACCTTCTCTCCTGCTGTTTTTAATTGCAATATTCTTTGAATCTTGTGAGCTCCTGGCAAGCTTCCCCAGCATTCCCTTCCCTGACCAGAGTTTGGACACCTGCCACTTCCTAATGACCATTGACCAGTTGTGTTTTGGTTCACAAAGCGGGGTTGTTCTTGGATATTAGAGCTCAGCAGGTGTCACTTGGATGGTTTTAAACGTGTTCTAGGTGTAAAAATCAGAACATAACTAGCAATGAAAAAGTGCTTTCCTGAGTTTTTTACAAGAAACTTCAACAGAGACATTATAAAGCTTGAGGATAAGAATGTAAACTTGGGTGCAAAGTTACCCCAGCAGGAGTTTCCCATACAGGGACAGGCAGGTATCACACGTGACAGGCCATGTGACACTGGCCTCTTAATGTGGTTCATTGCATATTTGAAGCTTGGTACACACCACAGATTGGTCAAAGCTTTAGGCAAACCAAGGAGGCAAATGTGAGGTGGTGTCAGGTGACACTGCAGGTGTCATCCCAAGGCCATGCACTGTTCAGTTGTCCTGGTGTTTCAATCAGTCATCAAGAATGTAAATCTTGACATAATCTGGCACAGTAAACTCGTTATTGCTGTACTGACAATGGTGCACCCTTACCTTTGGGAGCTGATTGAGTTGTTTAAAATCAGAGATCACGTCAGATACCACCATTGGAATCGTCCTCTAACAGTCATGTCTCAGATTGCTTTGTTAATATACGTTACACTGTTTGCTTATTTGTTGCTAACAGTTTAAATCCTAATTGCAGAGTTACTGGGAAAAAAACATCTAAAAGGACAAAGTCAATCAACGGGTCCCTTTATATCTTCAGGGGCCGAATAAATACGGAAGTCATGGAAGTAGAGAATGTGGAGGATGGAACAGGTAAGAGACCAAATATTGTCTTTTAACAACACAGTAAGTTTAGATCTTGTGTTGGAAGTTGGTGCAGAAGTCCTTGTCCATCTCCTTTAATGACATGTGAAGTAATCTTTGGAATTTGTGGTGCCTTCATTATTAGACCAACTGACATGGCTGAAAAACTGGACATGCTTTCAGGCACTAGTCCTTCATTCTGAAATGACCTTATGAAGAGTTTGCATACTGAGAAGCTTGTCTATTTTTTCTCCTAATCCAAGTTAATTTAATCAAAGATACTTTTATCTTCTTTCCATCCTTTATTTTCTTACATCTTAAGCCATTACAGCTATAATAATAGAACTTCTGGATCTTCTTCTCATTTAGAATGTTGCTAAATATTAGTCTTAGCATCAAATCAGTAGCATGGAATGTGGCCATGAACCAAGCATGGGAATGCTTGTTATAGTTGTGTTAGGGTTCTTGTGTCTTGACACAGGCAGGAAGACTGGGTGGCTTTCTGATTTCATGCACAAAGGCCACACCAGCCCCTGCTCCTATTGTAACAAGTCAGGAATTAATATTAGGTCCTTTAAACAGCTGCCACCTAAAGAGTTCTGGTGTCCTGTGGACAAAAGTCCTTACAGTGCAAGGAGGAGCAGAGACCTCCTGTTCACCTGTGCTTTGTGCTTTGGCCCTTTGCAGCAGATTATCACAGCAACGGCTACACGGTGACCAACGGCTGGAAGATTCACAACACAGCCAAAAACAAGTGGTTTGTCTGCATGGCCAAGACTGCAGAAGACAAACAGAAATGGCTGGATGCCATCATCAAGGAAAGGGAGCAGAGAGAGAGTAAGTGGATGGTGGATTTTGCGCTGCACTGAACGAACCTGTGTACAAAAAAGAAATGAATGTGCATGTAGACTTATCTGAGAGAGAGAAAAGCTTGCACTTGTTCCTCCATGGGCAGAATTAAAACCTATCCTTGGTGACAAAGAACAGGAATAGAGAACAAATATTTCTGAATGTGTACTTTGGGGATTTTATGGACTTGTGTCAGTAAATTTATCCAAAGTTTTCATTTACCAGAACCAATTTCTTTGGTGCATTGAATTACTGTGAAAATATTACATCTAATCACTTTAATTTTTTGGTCTTCTAATTTGATGGTCTTTTATTTGTAAAGAAGATAAAATTGTATTGTATTTCTCAGTAAAAGCAAAGAAGAAACTCGAGCTTGCAGCCTGTTCCCTGATGTGAGACAAACTCATTCTCACAAACTTGGCCTTCATGATCTTTCAATGGGACAGTTCCTGGAGAAGAACCCTGGAAATCCCAGCCCCTGGAAGTGTTCAAGGCCAGGTTGGACAGGGCTTGGAGCAACCTGGTCTAGTGGAAGTTGTCCCTGCCCATGGCAGGGGATGGAACAAGATGAGTTTTAAGGTCTCTTCCAACCCAAACCAGCGTGTGGTTCTATGAGACATCACACTTGGACTGGGCAATGGCAAATGGATGCAGATACTCGTTACTTGTATCTGTTCTTGTGGAATGAAACACAAACTAAGTTTATCTTGAAACAGTGTCATAGAATGGAAACCAGCTCACAAACCCAAGAATCAGGGGTGTGATAAAACTTCTGAGTTCCTTTAAAAGTCGGAACTGTCCTTCCCAAGTGAACCTGTTGCCCTCTTTGCCCTGTGGGAGCAGTAACAGCTCATTGCCAGAGAAAATTCCACTTATTTTAAGACATTCTGTGCCCGACCTTTAGAAGTGGTTCCCTCTCTGCACACACAGCTGCATTAAAGATGTAATTGCTCATTTTATGCTACAATGCTTTTCATCTACTTTGCTAAACTCAAAGCACATTACAGTGTTGTTATCGTAGAATATAAAACATTTATAACCTACTTTGTCAAATATAAACCCCAATATACCTTCTGATAATAGCAAGGATACTCCCTTCAAAATGTAGATTGAGCATGATATAAATTGGAAAGAACTACCTGAGTGCAACATGGAGAATCCATTTTGTTTTATCCTCAGAGATGGGTCAATAAGCAGTAAAAAGATAGGACTTGAAAAACAGATCATATTTAAACATGGGCCTTGCTGGGGAATATGGGGAGATGACTGAAATAGGTACCATGAGGGGAAAAGAACTGTTCATGAATAGAAAGGTTCTCAAGGTTTTCCATGCAACATTGGCCAGGAAGAGTGGGTTTTCTGATGCTTCTTGTCATACAGTTTTGTGATGCAGCTGATGACAGGCATTTGGGATAAGCATAGATATTCTGACAGAGATTCCAGGTTTTATTGGAAAATATCCTTTGGATCAGAGTGCTTTCAGAGTCATATAGTTATCAGTGTTTGGATTAGAAAGCTTGGTGAGATTCCCATTTCTGTAGGATGAGTTGGGTAGAATGTGCATTCCAGGCTGCCCTTTCCATGGGAGCCTCAGGAATTCAGGGATGTGAGAGCAGCAGGGAACATGTCCTGTTACACAGGCTGTTTTCTGTCACGAGTCCACGTTGTGAATTAGCCTCAGCTCCATGTGCTGAGTTGGACCAGTGCTGGGGAAGAAGAGGATGGAAGAATAATGGCAACAAGCCAGGGAGGTTGTGGAGCCAAAAGCTTTAGCCAGATAGTAGACACATAAAGGAAATGCTGTATTTGAATGGCAAAATGTTGTGCAAGTCTAATTTCTGGAATGTGCATTTCAAGCCTCTAAAACAGATGCATTAAGTGTTTTCAAAAAGCTAGAAAGCAGCTCTGAGGCACATAAGTACAGGACCACTTCAGGCTGCCTGTTTTCAAGCCAGTCTTGAAGCTATCTACAATCTGTGCCTCTGTTCTGAACCCCAGAGTTGCCCAGATGTTCAAGTTCTAGAGTAACTTAGCCAGAAAACTAAACTATGTGATTGGACTAGAAAAGACAAAACATCTCCAGCAGCAAAGCAGCTTTTGTCATGTGCTGTCCTCCCAAAGCAATTTGCAAATCTAAAGGGAAGAGGGCCAGAAAATGCCAGTTCTGAGGATAGTTGAAACACAGACACCTGCTGTTTTCAGAGATCGTCCTCCTGCCTGTAGCAATTTTCAAGTTAACATGAGCTGTGTGGGAACCCTGATAAAAAGTGAATGTGAAATGTTCTTTAAATCATGCAGTGTTTCTTTCAATGACTGGGTAATATGATTGTCAAACTCTGTTTTTAGCCTAAGAGTATTAGGAAAAAGGCTAATTAAGAAAGGATGAGAAAATAATGTTCCTCTTTAGTTTTGATTTATTCACAGAATCAAAGAATGTTTTGGATTGGAAGTGACTTTAAAGACCATTTAGTTCCAGTCCCCCATGGGCAGGGACACCTTCCATAAGCCCAGGTTGTTCCAAGCCCTGTCCAACCTGGCCTTGGACATTTCCAGGGATGGGGCAGCCACAGCTTCTCTGGGCAACCTGTGCCAGGGCCACCCCACCCTCACAGGGAAAGATTTCTTCCTACTATCCAATATAAACCTCCCCTCTTCAGTTTAAAGCCATTCCCCTTTGTCCTACCAATACACGTACTTGTCCAAGTCCCTCTCCAGCTCTCCTGGAGCCCCTTTAGGCACTGGAAGGGGCTCTCAGGTCTCCCAGAGCCTTCTCTTCTCAAGGTGAACCCCTCCAGCTCTCCCAGCCTGGCTCCAGAGCAGAGGGACTCCAGCCCTGGGAGCATCTCCATGGCTTCCCCTGGGCTCTCTCCAGCAGCTCCATGTCCTTCCTGTGCTGGAACTCCAGGGCTGGAGGCAGCTCTGCAGGGGGGTCTCACCTGAGCTGGGCAGAGGGACAGAATCCCCCCATCCCCCCATCAACCCAGTGCACATGGATGGGGCACATCCAGCCTCTCACCCACCAGCACCCCCCAAGCCTTCTCCCCAGGGCTGCTCTCAGCCAGTTCTCCTCCCAGCCTGTATTAGTGCTTGGGGGTTGCCCTGGCCCACAAGTTGAAAGCTGCTTTTTGAAATGGAGAAGAAAAGCTGCATTTCAATGGTGCTAAACTCACCAGTGACAGTTTTGTACTCAGATAAAAAAATGACCTCCTTTCCCCCCCAAATGGAAAATAAGTCAGTTAATTTTTGTGTCCCCACCATTTTTTACTGTTTGTCTCAGCTTTTGACTTTGAGCAAATGCTTTATCTGATGTTAAAGATCTAAAGGAATTTCTGCTTTGTATTCCAGGTTTGAAACTGGGAATGGAGAGGGATGCATATGTCATGATTGCAGAGAAGGGAGAGAAGCTGTACCAAATGATGATGAGCAAGAAAGTGAACCTTATCAAAGACAGGAGGAGAAAATTAAGTACTGTTCCCAAGTGCTTTCTTGGCAAGTAAGTGGCATTTTGACTGAAAAGGTCCTTTCATGCCAATTAAAATAATGGACTGGATATTCTGGGGATGGCATTGTGACATCAGATCAGATGTGCCTTGATGCAGCTTCATTAAAAAAAGCCTTAAGCCCCATTACAGTTGTGATTTATCAAAATTAACCATTGGTTTCTGCTTTTCCCTGCTTATTACACCACGTGACAGCTCACTGTTGTACAGTAACTCAAAACAGCTGCTGCAGGGTGACAAGAAGAGTAAGGAAAAAATCCTCAACTCCCACAAGCTTGAGGCTGTAGGTGGCCTAAGCTGTATCCTCCTTTGTATACAATCACTGCTTTCCAGGTGATGCTCAAATCCAGCAGAGCTGTCCAAGTCTCAAGATTGAATTTAGCAGTTTCCTTTCTGTCAGTGTAACAGGCACAAATGAAATTTTGTGCATCAGGTGACCTGATATGTTTGTTAGAAGTATAGGGCTGTATTGGCTGGAAAAACCCTCTTTGATTCAGGCTAGATATTACAAAATAATGACAAACTAATTCTTGGCACATGGGGAGGGAGACACAGGAGCTGCTGACCTGAGAAGACTTTTCCACCTCAGCTGCTCGTGATTGAAATGATCAGCTGTGGGAGAAAAAAAGAGTTCCAAGAGGCAGAGTATCCACTCATTTCCCTTCCCTCCCCCTGTCTCCCCAAGGCAGTTTGCAGCAGCATTCCCTGTGGACAGGGGGTGGAAATGTCTCCGTGCCTGACAGGAGGCGAGCTGGGAGCACAGGCTGGTGATGCTTCAGCTAGAAAAATAGAATCTTGATTTTTGGAGAATCGGTTGCTTTATAGTTCTTCACACACATGCCCCCCATCCTCCCAGGTGATCTTGGATTAAGAGTGAAACCTTCTAGATCTGATAGGGCATTTCTTATTTTCCATGCAACAAGGAGTACCAGATCAGGAACTTATGTTCTTCCAGTGCTGTTATGTATGAGTCTGTGGTGGATTCCCTGATATTTTGCTTAGTTTCAAGTCTTATCCAGGATTTCCTGCTGCTCCTTTTCCTTTTGAAATGTTTGTTTTCTTACAGTCTGTCCTGCTCAGTGCCCTCAGTTTGCTTGACAGCCACCTATGTTCAGTAGTGAGGGCCTGACCTAACTTTGCCAGTGGCTGAGCCCAGACTGAAATACCTTCCTGATTTCTGACAAAAGGTTTATTTCTCCTAATGTTCCAGCCTTCCCTGGAGCAAATAACTCTGCTGATATCTTTTCAGCAGTCACTTGTTGGTACAGTCCTGTGAAGTTGAGTGCAACTCAATGAGTACATTCCAGTCATGACTGGCAGATTTTGTGTCATTCCCAGAGCTTTCCCTGGGCAGTGCATATTGGCAGTGACCTGTTTTTTTTTGCAGATACTCCTACTTAAGTGAGTCACTAATAACTGGGAGATGGTGTCCTGACTTGCAGGGCAGCACTGGGAAGAGAAGACACTCAGTTATCCTGGAGAGCTCTTTAGGACAAGATGAGAATACAAATTAAGCTTTGCCATCCACTCTTTGTGTTGATGATTTTTTAGAAACAGTCTGGCATATTCCTTAAGAACCACTTGAAATGTTTCTGGATCAAGCACTTTTCAGGGCTTACAAAGCCTTCAGACCAAATGGTTACTGATTTTGCTTCTGAATCAAATGTCACAGTAGTCCTAAAGTTTTCTTAAGAAAACCATCCCACGGCTGGGAAGCTCCAGGGCTGTGAGAGTAGTGCTCAGTTATTTTCCTCTCTCAGCTCACCATTTCAGACTTCAGGAAGACTGCCTTCCATTTACATTCCAGAAAAGCTCCAGAGACACAGTTCCAAATAAAAGCAGCAGGAAAGCTAACAGGGTGGCTTCCACTGAAGTTCTGAGCAACTATTTAAGTGCTATAAATGGCCTGATGGGGAACCCTGGACATCCCCCCGGGCATCCCCCGTGGCTGCGGTCACGGGCAGCAGGTCCTGCTCAGCGTGTCTGCCTTGTGTCCTCAGCAGTGAGCGTGGAGGGTCATTCTTACTGCTCCTCCCTCTGCAGTTTATCTTCTGTTTCAGCTTTTAAATACTTCTAGAAGCAGTTCAGAATCACTGGGAAATTGAGAATGAGCTTTCCTTAGGAGACAGAGTCTGACTCATCACTGCTGTGGCTTTGGGAGTTTTACAAAACCCCGCTGGTTTCCATGTGATTCCCCTGGCATAGCTGAATAGATTCTGCTGCTTTTTCTACACTACAGCCCCTCAGCAAACCAAAGTTTTCAGTCCTGAAGCTTTTTTTTTTGTTATTCTAAAGACAAAATGCAAATACTACCTACAGCTTAGATGAGTCAGCATTGATAAATATGAAGAGACTAAAAATACTTCATTCAGAGCCCACAAGCAGAGACCTGGATACTGGCTTTGCTGAGCAGCAACACTCTGCACGTTGGCAAACACCCAAGTGTTTTATTGAACTCACATTTCCCATATGTTGCTCTGCGTTCATATACTCCTTTTGTTCTTCTCTATGACTTTAACACATTTCTAGCATAATTGCTAATTAACCTGGCAAACAGCTCAGTCCCCTGGGGCTCTGGCAGGGCTGGATTCATCAGGCTTACCGTGGTCGTTTTTTTGTACTTACTGTTTCTAATGAGTAACATCCTACATATGTATCAGGTTTTGGCCTTTATTTTGCCCATATGTGCCTCTCACCTCTCTCTCTGCCCTTCACCAGAGAGAGGTTTTGTTTCATGCTGCATCTTTTGTCTATGAATTAAAAGCATGATGTGTGTATCTGCCAGGCACCACCTCCAGAAAATGACCTTAAATTAACCTGTCAGTGGGACTTGTTCTCTCTGTTACTGCTCTGTGCTTGAATTCAGTAGGTTGGATCTTCTGTCCTGAGTCCTGCTGTGATTCCATTAAAACCAATGCAGTTACGTCACAGGGCTGGGGGCAGAAATCAGACCCAGTGAAGAGAGAGGATTGTGTGTAATTGTAACTAAGTCAAACCACAAACACTACTTGGAGAGGTAGCTTGGAAAGAAGTAGCTGGGAAGTGAGGATACCCTACTGTTGAACTTGTTTTTAAGGTCACCAGTTAATTTTCCTTCCCTTTTCCCCATGGATGTCTGGACTGCTTCATAAAATAAGGATTGGCAGCATCTCTATAGATCCAGCCAGGTTGTCTTTCCTTTTGTTTGCACACTAACTGTGAGCTGAGGGGAATGGTGGGGAAGGTCTGAACCTTCTGCAGAGCATTTCCTTCAGGAGTGGAGGAAACCAAACCACACAGAGGTACCATTGCTTACAATTTTCACACTTGCTCCAAGGAGAGTCTCCTTGGCTGGCTGATGATTGTAGGGCAGGTCCCTGCTGACACCCAGAGCTCAGTGTTTGTTGTGCTCCCCTCTGCAGCGAGTTTGTGTCCTGGCTCACGGAGATTGGAGAGATAAGCAAACCAGAGGAAGGGGTCAACCTGGGACAGGCACTGCTGGAAAATGGAATCATTCATCATGGTGAGTGTGCCATGCCATAGAGGAGAGAGATGTCAGATTTCAGTAGTGCCCTGGAAATGGGGGTGGAAAACTGTCTGTGGTTCACATGATGTTCAGATACTTGCCTGTGCCATACCCTTCAAATCCTCTACATGTGTAATGATTTTTGGGATTAATGAATGGGAAAATGTGTACCACAAAAACAGGACTTACTTGGTATCCTGAAAGTATTTATGCCTGCAGTTGCTTGATTTCTGTGCAAGCTCTTAGTTGGGTACTGTATCAGGTATGTATTCCTTTGTACTGTGTGTGTTTGAAAATCTGTAGCCATCCATAAACACAGTGAGACATCAGCAATCCAGAGGAGAGTGGAGCAGTGCTCTCCTGGAATGGGGCTCCAGCTGATGGGTCATTCTAATGAGGCTGCTTGTCATAAAAGGAAAGAGGTGATGGAGGGTTTGTGTTTCCAGCTCATTTGGCAAGAGTGAGGGACCATATTTGCTCATCTCACCCAGCTGATGACCTGGAAGGGCTGTGGTGAGGGGTGTTTTAGAAGGGAAGGACAGAGCATCCAGAAGTGCTGCCTGACTAAAGGATACTTGCTTGAAAATTGTCTGTGCTATCTGCATTTCTACTGAAAGGTCCTTCTCCAGACTGCACTGTTTAAATTCAAATTTGTCCCACTTTATGTAGACAGAGCACCATAGTCCTATTCTAGTTAAACACCAAATATCCCAATTTCAGCATTCAGGTGAGTTTAGCTGCAAAATGCACACCAAAGGAATACTGTAGATAGGTCTTAATTCACCACAGCTCTACGCTTTCATAGTCTCTTGGAAACCAATTTAAATAGGGGAGGCATTTTATTAGGCTAGTCTTGCTTTAATCTCTTGATTATTCAGCACCACAGACTGGTCTTTCAGGTGACAATAACACTGTTAAGAAATTATATCTGTTATCTTCTTTTAATTAACACATAGAGAAATCCATTGTAAGCAGTCCCTTAGTCCTTCACGCACATGCACTTCCACCCACAGGTACCAAGACAAACATTCAGGCACATTCAGACTGTGAAGAGTTTTGAGCATGAGCTCAAAAGCACTGAACACTTCTGAGTGCTTGGCCCTAACTGTGGTTTTGGAGACCTCTGGAACACTCTGGCTCCAGTGTGGGGCTCCCTCTTTGGATGAGGAATGCTCTTTGGCACTCACACCTGGACTTGCCTACATTCTGAACGTGCACTCGAGCTGCTGGTGCAAAAAGCTCTCTTGAGACTTGTTATTTCATGATAACTGTTTACCTTGCCATAAATTCATGCTTTGACACTTTCATCAGTGTTCTTTTTCTCTAAACACAGTTTTACAGTTCGGAGTTGTGCAGAGTTCCTGATGTGAGTGTCGTCAATAGCAGTTACTGTTAGACATTGGAAGGTATTTGTAACGCTGCATTTACTTAAGGGAATATCCCTTGAGATTCTGATAAACCATTAACATGGAACTATCCCATTATGTGTCTCCTAATGTAGCAAGAGCTGAAAATATAAGCACCATAATGAAGCCCTTACCCCCATTCTGCATTATGCAATTTCTTTTATCTTTTATCCTTTTTTTTTTTCACTTGGCAGAACATTCCTGTCAGGTGAAAACCCCTGAGCCTGCCTGAGAAGCAGGGCCATAGAAGATTATAAATGCTGTTTTATCCCTCAGTTTCTTCTGTATCTCCTTTAATTCTGGCTATCTTATCTGGAGCTGCTGATGGGGCAGTTCTGGTACCTGTCACAGGGCACAGGAGGGATCAGAACCTGATCTTCTGTAGGCCAGACACAGAAAACACTTTCTGCTCTCTTCATTCTCAGCTGGATTAAGAAATGCAAAATCCAGAGTCTGCAGAAGAAGTCAGTAACTTGCACAGCTTAGAGAGTCAATTGTATACAAAGGGAGATACATGGGATCCTGCAAATTTTGTTTGATCCTGTGAAATTAAAGAAAAATGTCATCTAAAGCAGGAATTTATTGTAGACCAGGATGTCCTATGTAATGAGGGAAGGTCTTAAGAGTTTCTGGCCTCTGAAGAACTATCCTGCCCACTCTGCAAGGGGCAGACTAAATCTCAGACTTTGTCCTGGTACTTTGGAGTCTGCCCAACCCAGGGGAATTGTTCTCAGTCACCAAATGGAGCCAGTTTTCTCAGATTAATTGGACTTAGACTAAGATGCATCTTAAATAGTGTAAATCCATATTTTCTCTCAGTTCATCAAAGGCTGCATCCAAAATATTCAAGGGTGCTCCAGCACACAGATTGATCATAGTTTTGGGAAGATTGCAGTCACTAAGCTATCCCACCTTACCTGTTCTTCTCCAGATTTCTTCCTCCTTCTCTGTATTGTTGGAACTAGTCTCCATTAAATTAAGCTGGGAATAATGACATTTCTCTAGGGTTCATAATACATACTCTTCAGAAAATTATAGACACCAGTGACTGCTTACTTGGTATCTCTGGATAGTAACTGGCCTATAAAGAACATGGTGGGGGGGAAAGAAAAGGCTGATTTTAATTGTCATGCTGCTGTTCTAGTTTCAGACAAGCACCAGTTCAAGAACGAGCAGGTGATGTACAGATTTCGCTACGACGATGGAACGTACAAGCCAAGAAGTGAATTGGAAGACATCATGTCCAAGGTTTGTGTTACCATTCTTAGCTGGCACCTCGTGATCTGCAGTGAACAGTTGTGACTGCACCCAAGACTGCTGATTGCGCTCCTGATAGAGTAACAAAAGGTCTCAAAACAGTAACCCAGCATGTCTGCTGCAAATCTGGGCATTATGGCTCAGGGAGATAGAAGAGATCGACATTTAACTGCTGTTCCTAATAATTGTCTGTCAGATGAGTTCTGTATATCCCGTATTTGCCCACATATCTTTTAATAAATTTGATTTTTTTCTTATGGGCATTGGTTAATGGGTTAGTTGTGAGGAAGGATTAGTGGAGAAAATGTTGGAATGGAGGTAACTCGAGATAAAAGAACAGATTTTTGGCTGTTGGAGGCAGGGAAAGAAGAAAATGTTTGACAGAGAAGATAAGGGAACTGTTCTGAATATCAGTTAATGACTAGATAATTCCAGCTGAGTAGAGACATCAGTGTCCAGGTTTTTCTAGCTTTAGCTGGTCAGTATTTCTTTGCAAAGGAAAAAGCTGCTAACACCTCCCATCTTCCCTTCTTCAGGGGGTGAGGCTCTACTGCCGCCTGCACTGCCTCTACACTCCAGTGGTGAAGTAAGTTCCCCTTCCTGCTCCCTGTGTATTTATTACCTGCCTTGAAAAAAGATGACCTGTTACTATTGAAAGCTTTCTTATTTCTTATTATAAACAGTAATTTTCTGCATTTTCTTGGCTCTTTTCCTGCCCTTCCATCTCCACAGCTTAGCTGTGTAGTTGTGCTGCTGCTGGAGGATGTTGGGGTTGGGGGGTTCTGGGGGAGTGAGAGGCTGTGTGTGATCAGAGTGCTCCTGACACGGCCCCTCTGCTGCTCAGGAGAGCAGGACACACCTTGGTTTGTTTCCTTGGGCATTGTCTGTGACTGTGGTGGGTGTGATTAATAAGTGACTCTGATTCAGGGCAGATGGTGTGGTGTGATTGGAGCTGCTGTGTTATTTGGGTTATAGAACATGTCAGCAGATGCTGACGTGATGTAAACAGATTCCAGTGTGGGGCAAGGACTCTGTCATTCAGAGCACCCTAAACAAACAAAATCCAGTCTGAGGTGGAATAAAAGGTGAAGCTGTAACTTGAAGAAACCCTGAAAGTTTTGGGTGGAATCTTCAGAATTTGCCTCTGTATAAATAGCTGCTGAAGAATTGAGGTAGTCTGCAAGTGTGAGGGGACTCTCCTCCCAGGTCCCAGGAGGTGATTTTCAGATGTTGTTGCCTTACTGTTATATCAGATGAACATTTCTGACCTGTAATGGAAACCACCCTGAACTGTGTAGGTGTTCTGTTTAGGTGTTTATGTTGGAAAATTAGGCATTTTCACTTAGGAGAACTTCATTTTTATTAAAAAAAATAAATTATGAGGAAGTTAAAAAAATCCTTTAGTGGAGATGGCTGGAATCCCAAATTCAACAACACTCACCTCTTGTTCATGAGTTGCACAACAGATGTTTCACTGATAGATGCCATTGTCATGCTAAAAGGAGGCTGCAAAGGTGGTTGCAGTTCATCAGCCATAAATTTACGTAATTAGAGCTCTGGGTTTTTTTCCCAGAATAACTATTCTGCAAGGTTTCACCCAGCCTGAAGGGTCTGGAGAGAGCAGGAGAGCATGATGCTGCCAGTGGTAGGCAAAGTGGTTCTGGAGAGGCACGTGTGTATCTGCACGTACTCATTTCCCCCCTTAACGTGGCAATTCGCATCCAGAGTAGAAACAATGGTAAGTGAAGCTCAAAAAATGTCCCTGACCTCAGGGTACCCACAAACTGAAGTGGATCTAATCTAATGCTTTAGGGAGTCAACAAGGACTAAGTGTGCCCGTCTTGTGGTGTTTTATCAATGAACTATTTTTGTAATAATTCCCAGCTGGAGAATCTTCTCAGCTCAGGATCAATCTGTGCTGGTGATATCATGACTCTAAACTGTGTATGACCAATGAACAGTAGCAGACCCTCAGAAGTTTTAAGATCCTTCTGAACAGACTGAATTTTTGGTATGTTTAGGCTCTTCTTCCTGCCATTCTCATTTCCTCTTTCCTGAATCTCCCAGGCTGTCCTCCCTTTATGTCTTTTTATCCTGTCTTTTTACCTCTGGCAAGCCTAGCATTAGCCTAGAGGAGTTGCTTTCAGCCAAGTTAGTTGGGCAAAGCCCATTGCTTTGTGCTGTGCCTTTGGGACACAGCATCTGTCTGCATTTATCTGCATCTTAGGACTGCTGATCCCTGCACCCCTGGTGGCTTTCCTGGTGCAGCCTTCCTGATGGAAAGTTGGCAAAGCTGCTTGGTGTAGCAGATACATATGCCAGAAGGAGCTGGAGGAATAGTAAACTCAAAATATTTTCTTGACAAGCTTGGGACACAATTTTGCTTAGTTGTCTTCCCTGGAAACCTTGGAGCTTCCATGTAGGCTGTGCCTTTATATTTTTCATTAAGTAAACTCTGGCACTCTTGTACTTTGAGAGCAAGATGATATACCCCACTGGAAACAAATAACGCTGGTTTGGGGCTTGAAACATAAAAAATAAAACATTCTGAAAAATCTTAGATGAGAGATGTTCTGAATATGTCTCTGATGTACTTTGGGGATGTTGGGAGGTGGCAGAACTTGTTCCCACTTCAGCAGGTGCTGGACAGTAGGTCAGCCCATTGTTGGGCTGGACCCTGTGAAGAATATTCTATTCCTCGACTTTCTGTGAGGCAGCAAGGTTCTGCCAAAGTTTCAGTGGTTCCCACCTCTATATTGATTGTTCACCTGCAGCTCATGGTTCTGGATAACATTCTATGATTTGTGCTCTGCTGCTGTTCAGGCTGGATTGAAGTAGGGGGAAAAACCAGTGAACTAATGTTGAAACATTGATCCTGACCAGCATTTAACTGCAGGCAGGGAGAGACTGGGCTTTGGACCAAGACTGATGGCAACTAATTCAAAACTCTGTCAGCATCTGTATGAAAATGTTGGGAGTTGCTTCTTACAATCTGGAAACCCCTCCTCATTAGTACTCAATATTTTATCGTTTTCCTTTATTGTTCTGACATTTCAAAAGCACGTTTTCTCAAGATAAGGGTGTGAGAGGGGAAAAACTGCCCAGAAAACTCCCACAGCTTTGTGCTGGGTTTAGCACATTACTGGAAGACAAGTAGAAAACTGTGTGGAAGCACTAGGAGGAGGAAAGCTTTTGTTCTGAGGACACGTATACGTATTTCTGGAAATGCTGTCATGTTTTGTTGGGTTTTTTCCAAGCTCCCAAAGTCCTGCTTCCCTTTTTAATTTCTCACACCCTGCATTCTGCAAACACACAGGCATTTCTGCAGCGTTTACTTACAGCAGCCAGTCACATCATATTTCTGTCTGTGGGTGATTAGTAAAAGGAACATGAGCAGGATGGACTTTAGATTTTTAGAAAAAGGGAACTATCAGGTAGTGTGGTGCTAATGAAAGAGGTTGATTTGGCAGAGCTGAAGAATAAAGTCTTCTCTTGAGCTGCCATATGGAAACATCCGGACTGTGAAACAGTCCCAATGGCTGTGAGAGTTTCCTCCCACAGTCCTGCCAGTGGAGCTCAAGCTTCCAATAGAAGGACCACCCCCAAGGGTGAGAGAGGAATTAATTCTTCATGGCCCGTTCAGCACTTGGCCTCTCTACTGAGACTCTCAACGAGAGGGAACCAATTAATGCAAATTAATTGTGGTAATGGCTTTTGTGATGTGGAACTAGGAACTGGATCAAGACCACGAAACTTATTTCACATGGGCCAATAAACAGCCTTAAAATGGCTTTTATTCTCTTATGAGCTGGATTAAATACTGTGACCTTGGAGGTGAAAGGTGTTAGAGCCCAATGTCCTGAGCCACACAGTCCTCTTATATTTGTATCAAAATTCTTTACAAGTATTTCACAGAAGACTTAAAAACATCAATTATCTCCATGGCTCTGAGAAGAGGAGTGGAAGAAAACTGCAAAAAGCATCAAGTTACAATAGGGTTCCTTTTCCTTCTTCCAGGAGCAGTGCTGCTGCCTACAAGGCTGGGGGTGAGGGGGTGCCAGTTGTGCTACAAGACCTAAACACAACACTTTTCTTTTCTTATTTGCAGCGGCTGAAATTATCTAAATGCCAGAAAGGGACACTGGGTACCCTGTTTGTGTCTGGCCACTATGTGATGTTTTACTAAAGGAAGTAAAATCTGAACAAGTGTGGGGAATCAGGAAAGTCTCTCTTGACATCAAAGTACCGAGTTCCGTGAGCTCACGGAAGGGGGTACAGAGGGAGTGTGGGGGAGGGTCCTTGTCTGTGGACACACTGGTGGGTAAACACCAGAGGAGAGCTGCTGAAGGGTATAGGAAACTAGAAGGTGATTTCCAGCCAGAAGAGTGTGATTTTTAGCAGAACTGATGGTGGCAATATTTCAACCTGAGTTACAGCAGCAGCTCGGGACATCTGTGAGAAGAATCTCCTGGTCACCTCTGGCAGGAATGTGAGCTCCCTGAAGATGGCTTGGAACAACATCTAGAGAAATTTGAAATACCACTGCTCTGTGTTGGTCTGAAATATCTTCCTAATTCAGGTGGTTAGAAATGTTTAAAACTTACCCCTTTCTTCTAGAGAAAAAGGATGTCTGCTTTTTCTAATAGTAGGTCACAGTAGTATATATAGGTTTAGAGTACAAAAGAAAATGTATCCCTTTTTGTCCATATTTTCCCTGAATTCTCTTTCTTAATTAGAGACCGTGACTACCACCTAAAGACCTACAAATCAGTAATCCCTGCAAGTAAACTGGTGGACTGGCTTATTGCACAGGTAAGAACAGTTTCAGATACTGCTATCTTTGATAAGGAGCTTAATTTTTTCAGTTCTATTTAAAAGTAAATAAAACACATTTATCTAGAGAATATTACAACATAATTAAACATATTCTGATGCTCTGTACTTAAAATCTTATGTCTTCTATTACTGTTCATTTTGTGAAAATTTATTTGGCATTATAAAGACGAAGTCCTTTGCTAGCCCTAGGAGTGGTGAACTGGCTATTTGTAAGAATGTTTTCTACTTCTTGTGATTTTTGGGAAGACATCTAATCCAATGTTGATCTCATTCAATCTAGTACAATATTATTGAAAAGTGAATCTGGAGTTTTACAGCAACAACTCCACCACTGTCTTTCGAAGTTGTAGTTGCCCCACATTTACGTTGTAATTACAGAGAAGAGTGTGTAGCTTGAGGAATTCAAAAATGTAGCTTTGATAGTGTGAAGCCACCTGAAGGGAGAGTGGGCAGTTTTGTTAGGGGAATGTTTTTTGTTAGTGGGCTGTTTTGTTAGGGGAATGTTTTTTGTTAGTGGGCTGTTTTGTTAGGGCCAAGGTAACGTCACCAGGAATAGCCAAGTCTGGTTTGGAGCCTTCCTACACAAAGATTTTGTTGCCTAGGACAAAAGTAGATTCCTAAGGGTTTAAGAGGGTAACATTAGAAGGCATCTCTCCTTCAGTTTATTTATAGTTGAAAGAATAAATTAGATTTTTAAATCCCAGCCCCTGCAAAATAAACAACCCATTTATCCCATAAAGTAACACAAAGAGAGAGTTGAGAATTGTCTCATGACAAGATGCTGAAAATGAGGGAAAATTTATGAAGATTTGAAGTTAGTTTATAATAAAGGTTAAACTTCAGGTTTATTAAAGCTATTTTCTTGGCTTTCCTTGTGTGGTTTCATAGTCATGTAGTTCCTTCAGAACTCCCTGATCCTTTTTCTACCAAGACAACAGTATTTAGTTCTTAATTGTAAATGTGGTGCCTTTTCTGCTCTGGGAAAGCCTCTTCAACAAAAGCCAGTAGTGCTGCTGATTTGGCAACAGCTGATCCTGTTTTATTCTGTATTTAAATAGTACCTTTACACCACAGTGATGTTCTTTGCCAGCATTTGCTTGGCAGGTAACTAAGGCTCTCCTTAGTAGGACTTGAAGTAGGACTGATGTTCTACTGACAAGATAAGAGGGCTCTTGGTTGTTTAAAATAAAGTCAGTTTGTTGCCCTGATGTGAGAGCCTTAGGGCATCTCGTTCTGCAGATGGAGATGTGTAGGATGCAGCTTCTAAGTTAACAGGACTGGAAGCAATGCACTAAAATTGCTCCTCTTGCCAAAGCAGGAGGTGCCCTCCCTGCTGGAATGAGCTGATCCACTGCTCTCACTGGGAAACCACATCCTGGGTTCCCCTTTGGGGCAGGGCCACTGGTCATCTCACACCAAGGGCCAGCGTTACCAATATTTGTAAGACCAGTAGTGCCTCCTGGTTTTTGCCAGCACTATTTAGAACTTATTTGTCTGCCTAAAAAGTGCAGCTGTGTTTGTAGAGTCTTCCCTTGTGGCTGCAAATTAGCAGATACAGAGAGAAAGCAAAGCAGTTCCTGTATTTAAGTTGTAGGTGCAAAGCTTAATGCTGCCACTTCAAGGAAATCTGTAAATGTGCAAGTCACCTTTGGTAGCTGTTTCGAATGGCTACACTCAAGGCTTCAGGTAGTGAGAAGCTAAAGCCTTTGCTGTATAAGCAAACAAATCCACTGCAGTTTTAACGTGTCTGACCTTGGAGTTCACATATGCTGGGTTTACTCGGGGTTTTCTCCCTGGGGATCTCTCAGCTTCTCTCTCAAGGAGTTTTATTGTCTGTGGCTAATGGGTCCTAAAGTCCAACACTACAATTGCAAATAAAAACTCTTTACATTGAGATAAAATTGTAACCTTTTGTGAGTTAAACAACTACTCTCCTCAATCCTGATCCTTCTCCTCCTGGTTCCTGTAGGAGGGAGAGATGCTGTCTGTAGGAAGCAACAGGGTTTGGGCAGTGGGATGCCTCTTTTAATTTCTTGCTATTGTTCCATACAGAGACCATCCTGCTCATTTCAGAGCCACAAGCTGTGTGGTGGGGAAGGGGGAGTGATTTAGCTTTAGAAAGTTGTCTGAGGTGTAATATTTGTCCTCTTGTTTCCAGGGAGACTGTCAGACTCGGGAGGAAGCTGTGGCTCTGGGTGTGGGACTCTGCAATAACGGCTTCATGCATCATGGTAATGCACCAAAATTGCTTCTCCCAGCCAAGTAAAGGAGCCCTTACTTCAGGCAGGTTGGCTTTTCTAGGCTTTTCGAGGCCAAACGTTCTATGTACATGACTGCAGGCAGCCCTGCAGGTCCTTTGGAACAGGCTTTGAGCTTACACATCATGTCTAAGCCTGCTGCCTTCCCAAGTGAATCCCCTTCCTGGCAGTTATGGGCAATGCTGAAGGGATTAAACAAGCCACAGGGGACATTTTTTTTTCATTGCATCACTTGCAGAGCCATCAGACCAATGCACAAGCCAAGTACTGTCCTGAAATATCCTAAGAAATGACAGGTACAAAGTAAAATTGCCTTATTCTTGCCTCTTGGACAAGAAGCACAATCCTCAGTGCTGAGGCTTCCAAATCTGAAGTGCCAGATTGCCAAGGTAGATATCATCCATCCTCAAATGGGGGAAAGTAAACAAATCACCTCTGTATCAATGTCAAAGAGCACATACAATCCTAAGAGTAAACTAAGTTTGTCCAGTGAGACATTGTTTGAGTCACATTTGCTCACTGTATTTTGCATAGTGGTTTTGAGAGCAGGTTATTGTGAATAAGTAATGGAGAATTTTCATTGTACTTGGTAAGAATGTAAGAATAACTGGTTTTTTTAAAAAGAATTTGGTCTGGTTTGAGCCCTTGCAAACTTTTGGCATTCTTAGTGTCCTTTGCCAAGAAGGTCCTTTGCTTAAGTACACATTGAATGAAGAAGTTGCTCCTCACTTGCTGCTTTTATTTGTAGATCCCAGATCTCCTATTTGAGAAAACGGTAAAGAACTTTATCACACCTTCCAGAATTATATAGATCTCATTTCCCTCTCATTTCTTTTGTTTAGATCGAAGAGCCTTATTCTGTGTGAACATCTTAGGTGCTTTTAAGCAGCCACTTTACTCCTCTTTGCTCTTCTTGTAGTTTTACTGTATTCATTTCGATGTGGGAAAGGAGCACGAGGTTTTGAGTAGCATCTTCCTTCCAAAGGATCTTTTGCATTTTGTACACATTCTGTGTGCCAGGGAGGTCACATCATGTCACAAGCTACTATGCACTATGAAGAAAAGCACTGCCCTAAAACACAGCGTGAGCATAAAAATGCAGAGCTGAGTAGCTGATTGATAGTGATGTACCTAGTCTGTGTTCTGTGAAGACTGGGGAAATGTTTAGGATTTCCTTTAACTTTCTTTTTGTTTCTCTCTTTCTTTCTCTGTGCAAATGCACGTATTTATTTCATATGTATTGTTTCAAGTCCTGGAGAAAAGTGAATTTAAGGATGAATCCTTATATTTCCGCTTTTATGCTGATGAGGAGATGGAGGGCACCAGTTCCAAGGGCAAACAATTACGTAATGACTTCAAGCTCGTGGAAAACATCCTGGGAAAGAATCTTCTGGTAAGAAATATGTGAATATAAACCTTGATGTTTCTGTGAAACTGGTATTGCTTTCTGCTAGAGGAGAATAAGAAGGAAAGCTGTGATAGAATAGGATTAAAATGGGCAATTACACCTGTCCTGTGTTTTTCTTCATTGCATAAATGGTACTGACTCTTGACCTACTGTGCTGTAGAGCTCCAACGTCTGTAGCTCTGACTTTTCCAGCTGGGCAGACTGTGTAGCTCATTCTCAGAGCAAGGGAAATCCTTATGTTGGCCCTTTCTGTAGCATGTGACCATCCTGCTGCACTGGGGGCTTCGGATTTGCAGCTCCCACACACACGTGCAAGTGCATGGAAATTCCTGCCTGTTTCTGATGGGTCTCAAGAAAAGGGATACAACTGTTTCATCCAGGACTCTTCCCAAGAAGTGCTCGTGAGAGTCTGGAAGTGAGCTGGGAGATGGAGATGTCTTAGCAGGCACCAGAGTGTTGATGTGGTGGAGGAGAAAGTAATGGGCGCTACTGTCCTGGGAGAGATCAACTTTAAACACAGTTTAAATACCCTTTGATGTGAGGTAGATTCAGGTGAAAGCTGAAAGGTTCATAAGAACACAGATATTTCAGGGCATATGAATATGCCCTGCATGCCTGGATCAGGTATCAGCTTTACTTTGTTTATGGAAACCATTTTCCAGAAAGTGCTGGGGTTTATATTCACATTTGTGCAATATTACTGTGATTTCTAGATTCCCACCTCACTGAAGTGCCATCTCAGCCCTTACTGCACTGGGATTATTCTAACTCTGGTGGGATTTGATGGTCAGATTGGGGCAAACATTTTGTTCTGAGATCCATGTGTAGTGCCAGCAGCTCCAGGCCCATTGTTTTCTCCTGTTGAACACTGGTAGAATGCAGGAGCAGGATAAAAACTTGGGTCAGAAACTACAGAGGCAGAATTCCTGGAAAAGATTCAGAGGTCCATTATGTGGGGAAAACCTTTCCTGTGTCTCACACAAATTTCACATCTCACTGTTGTTTTGTCTCCCTGGTAACCAAGCTATGTTTGTCTCCATGGCCAGGAGTAATATTTAAAGCACCATGGTCCTTCAAAATTATTCCTCCAGGTGCCAGGGACTGGAGTGTCCAGTTAATATGATTGTCCTCTTGAAGAATTGTTGGATATAGGGAAGCAGGTGGAAGGTAATGCACTTTGTGGGGTGTTTTTGTTGTGAGTTGGAAAGAACTCAGAGATTGGTTTCATGTCAGTTGGTGGGGAACTGCTGTTGTTGGGGTATTTTCAATACCTGATCAAGACAAGACAGTGTGAGGAAACAGATTGACCAGGATGTCTCTTCCACTGTTTCTGTCAGTTCAAGGCACTTCTGTTAAAATGCCAAAACTCAGTGGTAATGTTAGCTGTGAAAGGAGGGATTTAACATTCTCTGATTGATTTTCTTTTAATGTAATAATTATTTGTTAGTGTTCAGTAAAGAGACAGAACAAACAAGTAGACCTTTTGCTCCTGGACTACTACTGATTATTAATTGTAATCTCTAGTTGGTCCTTCCAGTCACCCCATAATTTGCTAGCTGAAGTAAATGTGACAGGAAAAATGTTAATGTTGCTCTTATAATGGTTCTGAATTGCATCAGACAGCCTTTGTCTCATCTCAAACAGAAAACAGTTGGAAATGAGCAGCACATGCTGAGGAGAAAACCTCCTCCTTAGAGGGCACGCATTTGTGTCAGATGTGGATAGTCCTGCTAAAAACAGGAGTTGCTTTCATTTGCACACATACATTGACAGTGCCCTGAATGTTTGTGAAGATCCCACAAAAGCAGTACAGTGAATTCATGACGCTTACCCACAAAAACAGTGCCTGACTTCGGGTTTATGTTGTGTTTAGCAATTATGAGCAGTTATTTAGCAACAGTTCCCAAGGCTTTGCTGTGTGGGGAACATCCCTGCTTGCCTCTACACTCATGATGGGGCATTGATCCTTTCTATCTCTTGACTCCACCATAGGAAGTTTAATGGAGTTTCCTCAGCACCGGTTTTTCAAACATGCTTTTGTACTGCCATGAAATTCTACCTGGTTTTGGGTAGATTCCCACACTCCCTCCACCTGAGTCTGCTGTATCACAGGAGAGCCTGCCCTTGAGAACTGAAAACAAGAGAAACCTTGGCAAATATTTATTAGAAAATTAGAACAAAGTGCTTTCAGTCTGGAACAACACACTTCAAACAAAATCCAAGACTTATTTATTTGCGCAATTGTTTCTCACTGAAGGACATAAATCATGACAAACTGAAAAAATATACAACATTCTTTGCATAGTTGGAGAGAATTTGGAAGAATTTGCGTTTTGGCCTGTCTCCAAGCATTGTGACTTGGTTACTGCTGTATGCTGAGAACTTGTGAGCAGCCCTGCCCAGCCACAGCACACGTCAGTGCTGGTCACTCAGAGCTGAGTGTCAGACAAGGAGAGTTGCCTGGAGAGATGGGTCTCCATCAAAGTTATCTGAGAAGTTGATTGCCCACGTGATGCTGCAGTCCCACAAGACTCAGAGGAGAAGCATTGCCAGTGATTTCTGAAGGTTATGCCTGTGTACATTTTCTGTAACGCTCTCAAACCTGTTGTGCTGCTGGTTGGAGTTCTGGACTGGAATTCTAAACCTCCTCAACTTTCCAGACCTGTGGTGTCTCTTACATTCCTCCAGGATATCCTGTATTTCTTATCCTCCGTGATGTGGCTGTCTGTCCCTGCAGTCCATAGCCAGGGCTGGGGCCTGTCCTGGAATTCAGCTGATGCAGGGCCTGGCTAGTGCAGCACATTCCATGGAAGGCAGAGCTGCCTGGATTTCATTTGACTTCTCCCATGAACTCCCTTCCTGGAGCAAGTCACTCCACTCCTCAGTTTACCATCTGAAAATAAGGATGGTAAATCTCATTCATCCATAGGACTTTGTTACTTTGCTGTTACATTTAGATTCAGCTTTGAAAATCAGGAGTTGTTATAGTTCTGTACTTCAGATATGAAGTTTTTAGCTGATAGTACTAATACCATGGCAGTTCATGTCTTTTCCATTTTAAACCAGCTAAACCAATAAACACAGCATTCACCTTAAAATTCTTGTAGAAGTGTAGGATGCTTTTCTGCTGTTCTAATCATGAATAACTAATAGTTATTTATATTACTGAAATAAAGTCATAGTTGGTCCTCTTCCATCTTTCATCATTTCAGAATTAGTTTTGTGTGTTGTGCTAATATAAAACAACCTCACTCTTCAAAATTTCAGCAGAGAGAGAGAGAGAGCAGAAAAGAGCCTTCCCTTTGTTCTTCATTATCCTGGTCTACCCGTCTGCTGTAGCTAGAGAATTCCACTCATGGATTTAAAACACTCTGGGGAAGAAAACCACTAATTAGAGCTCATCCTCTAGGGAATTCTGCTTCCAAGGGGACAGGCTGGGAAGTCAGTGATGAGGCATCCATCATCCACGTGTAGGTGGCCACAGAAGAGCTTGGGGTAGAGTCAGATACTGAAAACTCCGGTGAACTCTGAAGGGAAAACCACCCTTTAGGCTCTAATTCTTTCACTGTTCAGAAGGAACAGTTGGAGTTCAGTGCTCAATTTCACACCTCACAAACCACAAGAAACTTGGAGTCATTCTGTATATATTCAGTCTCTTTTGCTAATGTGGCAGAACATACCTTTAAGGATAATAGTAGGGGTGGCTTAGATTCTTGAGCTTTTGTCTTTCCAAATGCTGTTTTAGTGCCCCAGAGCTGTGGATTTGTGCAAAGCTGTGGAGACTGGAACAGCCTGAGAGATGAGGTGGAAGGAAAGTGGCTCCCTTCAAATGCTGCTGAGGGCTCAGAAGTGTTCTCAGGTGTTCAGAGTTGCCATTGTCTGCTAAGTCTCTGCTCTTGAGGAGATTCTTACCCAAGCCAGGCTGTGCAAGTGTATCTGACAGAGAAGGGTTTTTCTGGAGAGCTGCAGGGAAGGCTGTGAGTGAAGAATGTGCATCCTGGACATTTGAGTTTAAGGAATGGTGGTTGTTGTGCCCGTGTTACCTCATCTGATGTCCCCAAGAGTTGAGGCTGAGGGTTCCTGCTTCAGTGTGATACAGGTGTAATGGACCGTTCTTTGCACAGCTTTTCATCTCAGCACACCCTATATTCCTGCCAAAATTCTCTTTGAATATTATTCTGACTACATTTACCCTCTGGTTTTGATTAAACATTATTTCTCACGTGGTCTCATTTGTTAACGTGGTTGTCTTTCAAGATTAAACAGCTGCTGCCTTATGTTCCAAAAACTGATTGGGCTTCAGGGGCACAGAAACAATTCTTGTAGGTGGCAATTTAGTTAATTGCTTTGGACTCCTTAGGGATGAATGGGGTTCAGCTGTGGAATGGCAAGGTGTTCTTATTTTATATAGAATATTATCCATGGGGTCCCCAGCACAGGAGCCTCAGGATACAGAATGTGAGATTTTTTTTCTTAACACCATGCTGAGAAAGATCCCAGTGTTGATGCACTTGGGGTTTCCTAAAAGTGTTTTGGTTCTTTGCTTTCAAACAATACATTTTTGCAATATCAATGATCAGAGAAAGGTAGGTTATTAAAAATGATAGCAGATAAAAGATCCTCGTGCATGGTAATGGTGGCTGCACCCAAGGGATAGGTAAAGATGTGGAGCTGCTGCCTTCTGAAGTTGGGCAAATCAAAGGCTCCAGGTTTTTAAATGTCTCTTTCACATATGCTTTCAAAATTCAGCAAAAGAAACCAACAGTCCTTTCAAATGTCAAATATGAATTGGAGGGGAGAGCTAGCCTAGAAATCTTCCATTTCCTCCCAAATGGGAAGTGATAAGAAGTACATACTGTGTTGGGCTGAAACTCATTCTGCTTGCAACACTGAAAATCTAACCAGCAGAATACTCAATTTTCTAAGGTCCTTTATTAAACACACAATATTAGCATTGCTTCTGAAAATACTGTGTTAGAATTGGCCAAAAATGACAAATTTACCTTTCAGTCTTTTTAATTCCCTGTCCATGATCTAATCTGAATATCACCTGGTAAGGACTTCTTGCCTGCACATGAATTATTTTAACATCCTGCAGATTATTTTAAGATCCCGCAGGACAGAATTATTTTAATTCTTTCCTTTTTTCTAAGGTAATTTCCTGTAAAAGAACAAAGCTTATAAGCTGATGGAATTGACTTCAATAGAAAAGGGACAGTATTTTAAAATAGTGCAGAAATCATCAGAAGCAAGGAAACAATTCTCAGTAATTTGTTTTGCCCGCTGTCTGCTGGATTATGAGTAGCTTTATTTTTCCTGTTAACTCAGTTCCGTTTTATCAGATGGGTTTTAGTACGTAATGTTTGCTCAAATGCAAGATGTTTATCTGGTAGAATTTCCACTTGTCCATTTACCAGTGGCTTGCTTTATTTTTTTTATAATGGGAAGTGAGTTGTTAAGCTTTTAACTCGTTAATAAACCACTTGAAAAGGATGAGTGAAACATATATTTGCCATGATTGATAGGATTTTTAAGAATATGTGTAAGGCAGGTCTGTGCGACCTCAGTGCAAATTACAGGAAGCAGAAACCCAATAGTAAGAATTATGAAGGCTTCTGTCAAATAGAAGAGGTGCAAACTGAGCCCAGGGCTTGTGTTTTCTCCCCTAACACGGAGCCATTTTGCCAGGTCTCTAAAGGAAGGACATGTGCATGTCAGGAATTGTTCTCTCACTGGTCATGATGTAGATTTCTGTAGTGTGTGGTTTATCTATAATAGGTAGGCCTGAGGTACTCAATTTATCTGAAACTGATTGCTGAGAAAGACTCAGATCATTCATTATTGGTACGTGGGATGTATTTTAATAAATAATAAATTACTGCACTTTAATCTATAAGTACATTCACCAATGGAAAATACTGAATAATGACGTAATCTGAAAGTGTAAGATCTAAAGAAGGATAAAGGGCTAGGAGTTAAAACCAAATGCAGTTTCTAACAGAAGAGTTTGGAACAAACTCTCAAGGGTGGGAGGACATTCCTCACTTCTTAAAGACTGTGGATCTTACCTGGGTAGCCCTCTGGAAATTCTGCTTTAGTGTGTACTAAGGGCTCAGTGAAGAAATAACTGGATTAAATGTTGTGGCTCATCTTATGTAGGAGGTCAGACCAAATGACCTGGTAGTGCCTTTCACCCCTAAGGCATGCAAGTCCGTGTCAGCTGTGGCAATCTTCAGCTTTTCAGCAAGCTGCATATTCATGAATCATTGCCCTGTGCTCTGTTTCAGATTTTACCAGAAGAGGATGACTATGGGTTTGACATAGAGGAGAAGAACAAAGCCGTGGTGGTGAAGTCGGTTCGACGAGGCTCCTCTGCCGAGGTAGGACCCGACAGCCACGTCCTCGGATCTGAGAATGTTCAATCCTTGGAAAAGGCAGCAAAGGGAAAATCAGCTGTCTTCTACAGTTGCTGTGGTAATAAGCTGTTACTGTGAATGGCCAAGTGTTTTGGCACCACCAGGTGACTTGAGGATCATTGATAAGTGATTGGTCGACAGCAAGATCTCTGTGTGATGACACCTCAGGTTCATTAGCAACCTCAGTGTAAGGAGAGAGGGAAAGTAACACTCTTTTGGGTTAGCAAAGGTGTTCGAGCGGAAACAGGTTTATTTGAGTGAAAGCTGCATTTTTAAATATTTTTTTCTTTAAAAAGCTTGCACTCATTTCCCTCCCTGGTATTTTCTAAGAGTTCTACAGAATGTACTTGCTGTGTTTCTTTGAGGCACACAGATGGGCCAAATGTCACAGATCCCAGTGTTGCATCGTCACCTTTTATCCATACAAGACCCCTGTGTGGGTAACACAGTGTCACACGATTTACTGAAATAAGGCACAGACAGACTGAAAATCTGTCTTTTAGAAGCTGTTTAGGTGCTTTTTTAGCATCTGTGAAGATAAGAGAGGGCTAAACGACTTGTCCAGAGTTTCACAGTAAAGTGGCAGCACGCAGGCAGAGCTTCTAATTAAAAGTCCAGGACAACCATTACAGAATTTCTGAATGTCCATGTTCATTTGTGGGTCTCTGCTTTAGACTACAAATAACTGCTGGGTAACTTGCCCAGTGGAAACAGTGGACAGATTGATTTTACCAAGCTGAGAATGTTGAATGGGAAGGAATTTTGAACTGAAGTTTAGTATTAAAATTAAATTATTTCAGTATTCCTGATTCTCATGTGGTTTATGGTCACCAAAGAAACCAATCTGCTGCTTTACCTCGTGCTCAAAATCAACATGGGTTGGCCAAAATTTTTATTAATGTAAACCTGTTCTATGAACTATTGCCTGCAAGATAATCCTTCTGCCCTTTCTTTGGCTGGATGCCTGGGGAATAGCCTGCAAATCTGGTGTGTTTTAAGACAACAGAAGCACACAATTTTCTGAGGAATCTTTTTCTTGCTCTTCCAAGACAAACTATCTGTGACCATGAGCCCATCTTTTGAACTCGGTCTTAACAATATTGCTCCAGAAAAGAACTGAATCTGCACCTCTCTCAACCAGAGGGCTGTCAGCTCATTCTGGAAAGACATGAGGTCCAATGGTGATGCATTTTGTCACATTCTTGGGCTTTTTTAATTGCTTTGGGATATTGGAAATATATCCAGCATGTAGTTCTGTGTGACTCAGCATTTAGAGACCCTCTGCCTGCTGTCATTCCCTGCAGGGACAGAAATGAAGACACAGCTTTGCTTCACAGCTCATTGCATTCACTGAGACTGAGAGACTTCAGGCCTGAGTAAGATTTCAGGTTCACCAGTAAAGGGGGAACAAATCTACTACTTGCATGGATTTTTTCAAGATTAACATGTCCTCTTTGGAACTGTGATCTCCTGTTCTTGAAACAAAATTGAAACACAGCTAAAGCAGAGGTTGTGGCAGCACACAGCGTTGAACTTGGTGCTTGTGCAACAAGGGTCTGTGGGATTTCTATTCAATGTCAGAGTTGCCAAGCATTGTTGTTATTATTAGTGTCTTTTCTTCTCAAAATTTTTTAGAAACTGTGTGTGAGCTGTTAGATTTGCCTGTGCCAGAAGCAGTTTCCAAACTGTGTTTGAAAGTTGTTAAGAACATCCAATTCCTGTATGTACCGATGGGGTACTGGAACTGCAGTGTGTGAATTCTTTGCCTGGCATTGTGTGTTCAGCTTCTCAGTTTTGGCCCTCAGACAGAACAGTGCTCCTGCCCTTTCTCTCCTGCTGCTGCATGATGAGCAGCCAGGACCCTCCCTGTGGGAATTGTGCCCCTGCTCCTGCCATCAGCTGCCTGGGCCTGTTGACAGTTGCTCAGCTCACCCAGGTGGAGGGGCACGAAAAACCGTAGAGTTTGCTTCGTTAGTTAGTGTGTCACGTCTCATGCTCATCCCAAGTTCACATGTCTTCACAAAGACATTCAGAAGGTCTCCTTTATTAATAGTCCCTTAAAAAATTGTAGCAGAAAAGTACAAAGATTTATCTATAGCAAAAGTATCTACAGCTGTACAGTGACATGTTTCTAAAGATAGGGGTGAAAACTCTTTGTTTTCTGCAAAAGCAGAAAACTTTCAGGGGGAGTGAGAAATGACTTGATGAACCAGCACTGTGTGTAGGGTATCCCACTGACAGCAGTCTGAGGAATGGCTGTAAGCAGGGAATAGCTGAACCTTGGAGCCTGAGCTTTCAGAGATCCTGCCAGTGATCCGGGTGCTCTGTGGTGTTTGTTCTGTTTGCAGATGGCTGGCCTGCAGGCGGGAAGGAAAATCTATTCCATCAATGAGGATTTAGTATTCCTGCGACCGTTTTCTGAAGTGGAAACCATCCTAACCCAGTCCTTCTGCTCACGGAGGCCACTCAGGCTTCTGGTAGCCACCAAGTCAAAAGAGTAAGTGCCAAGATGGGCAGACAGATTATTGAGAAATGTCAGTTCCTAACTAATACTTCTGCAGCTGTAGTGAAAGCTGTGCAAACACTTTGCTGTGCAGAAGCTGCTCAGTAGGAGAACAAATGACAGAAACGAGAGAGCAAGAGCCGTGGCTTGTTTTTAGTGATGACCCTCAGGCCTCAGAAGAGGTTGGGTTGTGTTCTCTTTATACTGCAGGTGAAATACTTTTGGCTTCCTTGTGCACAGACAGAACTGAATCACAAGGATTGTCATTCCTTCTCATGGGTGAAGCTTCTCAGGCTATTAATGTTTGTGCCAGGGAAAACAATTTCCACCCCATTAGAGCTTGGCTTATTTTTTGATGACTCTAACACTATCAGCCCTTACAGTTTTTTGGTCTATTATTATATCTTATAATGATTCTTGGCCCTGTTAATGTCTTGTGCACTGTTAGATTCTGTAATCCCAGAGTGTGCCATAGAATCGAACATCTCAGTGAACACTTTATACTGGATTCTAGTCCAGGTTGTCTTGTCTAGTGTATTTTTTTATATTTTAATGAAAGTGGTATAAGTCAGCACAGCTGCAGTGAAGTGTGCCTAGAAAAGGAAATGAATATAAATACCACAGATAGTTTCTGTCAGGTGTTATTTGCCTAAAGATGTAATAAATTAAGAAATGCCAAATTTTAATTAACCAATAGAATCTCCCATCTGCCTTGGAGATAGAAGATGGAGTAGATGATTTTTTCAGGTCTGTTTATTTGTTATTTATTTATAAACAGTGTGGGCGCTTTCTTTCATCCACACCCCCTTGTGAGTAGCAGGGAAAGATCCTGTTAGAACTGCCCAGACCTCTGGCAGCCTAACTTAAAATCCTGCTTTCTCTTTTCTTTGCTTTATCTGCAGGATTATTAAAATCCCAGACTGTCCTGAAACACTTTGCTTTCAGATCCGGGGAGCAGCACCACCGTATGTTCATGCTGTAGGAAGAGGTAAGGAGAAAGTCTGGGGTACAGTTAGGCTGGAGTACAGCTGAATATATGTACATGTGTATAGAAAGAGTGGATGTGTGTGTGTATATATATATAAATATTAAGACAGAGGCAGGTTTCATTGTCCAGCTTGTTCCATACTGACAACCTTGGTGACCACAGTGACAGGAACCCCTGTCGAGGGGAACAATCACACCCATGGAACCACAGAACAACCAAAGCTACAGTTCCTGCCTCAGGGTGCTCAGCACCTAAATGCTTTCTGGGACAGCGATATCATTCCTACCAACTGAGTGGAGGGTTTCTGATCCCATCAACACAAAGCAAGGAATAATTTATTTCTACAGTGGAAGAAACTTGGATACTGCAATCCACAGTATCGTGGAAAGACTCTTAAGAAAGCATTATCACTCGAGCTCTTGCAAACTAGAAATGTGCTTGCTCAGTGACCCCTACCATTGCTTCTTCTGAGACTGCCAAGGTCCAGCTTTACAGCCACAGGGAATAAAAACACAAAACTGAGGTGGCTGAGGAAAAAGTGAGGGGTTAATGCTGTCTATTGCTTCCTCAATATTTTTGCCTGTAGTCAGCCACAGTTTGGGTCCCTGGGTTTTGAAGTGAAAGCCTAATCCTAACCTAACCTTAACCCTGCTGCAGGATCAGCAGGTTGGGAGACAGGTGGTAACATGATCTGGACATCACAAAGTAATACTTGGAGACTGCTTCTCCCTTTACTTTGGCTTGTACTGCTACAAAGTACCAATGTAAGATAGAGGCAAACTGCTTTCCTTCATCCTTTAAAAGGAGAAAACACAGTTTGACAGAGATACTTAGTTCTTCTGTACCTGAAATGTTAACTGAGCTACAAACAAAGCCCAGCTTTAATTTTTATTCTCAGCAGATGCAGAAAATGTGGCCTTTCAGACATACACCACTTCCTTCCTTCCTTCCAAACAAACACGTGTCTCCAGATGAGTGCAGTGAGTGCACAGGTAGCACCCACAGATGGTGTTCCCAGGGGCACACATTTATTGCACCCTTTCATAACAGCACTTATAACCACTTTTTTCACAGTCTAGAGGGCAAGCTGGAAGTGCCAGCTAGGAAGATTCTCCTTTTTTTCAGGATTTTTCTCCAGCAAAAGACAAATTGCATTTAAAAAAGTGCTTTAAAGAATTGATCATCTTAATTGTAGATTTCTAGGAGCTGAGTTTGGGTATGAGTCTTGTTCATGTGAGTTTGGAATAAATCCATTGAAGCTGGTTGTTGCCCTCTAGACTTACTGTAGCTTTAAGTACATCAGTCTTTCTCTGTGCCACGTTGTGCAACGTGCAAGTGTTCTGTACCTTTCAAGTGCAAGAAGCTGGAACAAATATAACAGTTTACATTTAAGCAAGGCCTCAGCTAATGTAATCATAAGGCTAAAGGAGAACCATATAAGAATCCCAAACTATTTCCCACAGGGATTTTGATTTCTAGTATGAATGCATTTAGGTCTGGGAGGTCTCTCTTTCTCCCAGCACTACTGACAACATGAAGGATAAACACAAAGCTCTCAGAATTAGGACTTATTAGCAAAGGCAGGACAGCATTCACCCGGCTCTTCTTATTCCTTTCAGCCAGAAACCCTTTGCAGACTTGCCAGTGTTCTCTTCCATATGCAGATGGCATTTCTGTCTAACTTCTCTGCTGTTGTTTTTCAGGGTCTGAGGCTGCAGCTGTAGGCCTTCATCCAGGGCAGTGTATACTGAAAGTTAATGGGAATAATGCAACACATGGAAATTATACGGAAGTTCTGGAGCATTTCACAGCCTACAGGACCAGACAACAGGAAGCACTGGTATGAACTCAAAACCTCAAAGGAAGTACATTAATTCCTGCCCTTCTTCTGCCCTCCCCTTCTCCTGTGCTTTTAGGCTCACTAAATATTCAGAAAAAGAACATCTACGTGTTTCTTTTGACTCATTTCCTCCCTCCCCAGGGTTCTGCTATCACTGAGGGACCTGGTTGCAGTTGCCTAGAGTTACAAAACACCTACAAATAATATGAAAGCAAATTCATGCACTGGATGCACACTGCACACTGGAAGTTGTTAACTACTGCCAACGCTAGAAGTTCACCCAGATATCCATCTAGGTTTTATGTTCTCTAAAGTTCAGAGAAAAGCTGGGGGAATGCTTACATGTCAGCCAGCTTAGAAGATAGAGAATTGATAGCTAGATTCACTTTTGTAGTCTAAATATCTGGAGATTGGGCATTTTTAGTGAGGTCATAGCTAAAGCCTGTGTTTCTTGCAAGGGGTTGTACCAGTGGGTGTACAGAACACATGAAGATGCTGAAGAGGACAGAGTTCAGCAAGCAGCAGCCCCTGCATATGTGAATGGCAGCCACCCTGGCTCCACCAAAGACCACCCTGCACTAGAAGGAGATGCAGAATTGGATCCTCTTCAGAACAGCCCCCAGGAATCAGGTAAAGATTCTCACGGTGGAAGGAGACCTAGAGCAATCCAGAGGCTTCCAAAAGGGAAACAGTAGTAGAAATATAAGGTGTAATTGTTACTGTAGGATATCTCTTGTCTTAGTAAAGGTTTGTAGTAAAATGAGGTCTGCCAGAGGAAGTACTCATATGCTGCCATTTATTCAGGGGAAGATACACATAGAAATCGTGCCCCTGTGACTCTGTTCTTTACAAGAGAGCCAGTTTCAGGAATGAAGAGGCTCAGCATTTTTAGAATCCTTTGGTAGCCCCTGCAAACCAGGAATTTGTGGGCAGTAGCTGGTGGGGAGGGAAGGCCTGCAAGTAGCTCCACCTAGAATAATCTATGTTTTCTGTTATTTTAGATTAGAGATTAAGATGTTAAATTGCTTTGATCTGGAGCAAGTTTTCAAGACATGCTACCACTATGTCAGCAGAAGGTATTTCCTCCAATTTACAAAAGCGTAACTCATAAAAAACAGCTTTACTTCTATGTTGAGAGCTGTTTCAGGGAAGTAGATGTTAGGGGAGAATACTGAAATGAGATTTAATCCAAAGGACTGAGCCTGGAGTCTCTGAACGCCACTGGCAACTCCTCCAGGAACAGATGCACACCTGTGGATCCCATCTAAGGTCTGGTGAACCTGGTAATCCAGTGGTCCCGCAGTGCAGCTCCTTGGTGGAATAGCTGGAGCCCTGGTAGAGGCATGTGAGCAATTCTCTGGCAAACCTCAATCTGAATGTAGCTTGAGTTGGTTCCCTAGTGACAACAGCATTGCTGTGTGTAAAAAAAAAAGTTATCTCCTCACCCCATCCCTGCCCTGGTATCTCAGTCTTCCAGAGGGTCATTGCAAACAACAGGACTCAGAGGTTAACAGACTTTACTTCCTTTTGAAAGCTTCTGCTCGTGTCTGAACAGAACTAGCAGCAGTGTGCTGACGTAGATGTGTGCTTGCACATGTGGAAGAATGGGGATTGGAGCATGTTGTTTATATAAACTTCTCTCACTGTCTCCATTAGTGGCCAAGAGCAAATGTCTCCCTCAGGATATTCTCCAGTCTCTGGCAGTGCGTAGTTCAGATATTCCTTGAGCCAAAGGTTGTGTCTTTGCACTGAATAATTCTCTCTAATGACTTATCTCTGTTCCAGTCCAGACACCACAGACCATCAGCTCTCCACTGGTCCCTGGGGAAGAAACCCCTCTGATCAGCCTGACTGTGGATAACACCCACCTGGAGCACGGGGTGGTGTACGAATATGTCAGCAGTGCAGGAATCAAATCCTTTGTCCTGGAGAAAATTGTGGAACCAAAAGGTTGCTTCAATCTCACTGCAAAGGTACCAGAAAACTTACATGGCAGGTTCATTCCTAACCAGAGTGGGAAGCCAGTGATACGGCTTATTATTGGCTGCTGTGGGCCTGGCTCTTTGGATGAGGTCACACGTGGTCTTCTCAGCCCTGCTGGGAGTTCTGTTCATTAGAATGCACCGAGTTACAGCAGCTCCTTTGGTATGAGCAAGTCAGCAAATGCTTCCAGGACTTCAGGTGTTGAGGCAGAGGGAGGGGAGCCCCTGGCTGTGGGAATTCTCCCTTTTATCTGCCTGGTAACGTAGTCTCTGTTGAGTCTTAAGATTGATCTTTTCAGGCAGGCATTTGCTTTGCCTTGGAAGAAAATCAAGCAGCTTCTTCCCACCTAATATGCTGGAGAGGTTGCAAAAGGAATCGAGTAGAATTGCTGCTATCAGAAGGCAGCAGAGCACTGAGTGTCCTGGTCATCCCTGAAAAATGAACTCATAGTAAATCTTTCTGTCATATCTCAGTAACTTTATTGTTGTGTCCCAGGAAAGTAGGCCAGAGCAGGTAACTTGGGCAGTGCACAGTGGATATTTTGATCCACTTCCATTACTCTGACATTTTTTGAAGCTTGTTTTGTGACTCAGGGCATCAGACATGATAGTGGTTCTCAGGCAGTCATAGAGGCAGCTGTATTCAACCACGGGGCTTTGCCCCTCACTCAGTGGAAGAAAACTGTGTTTTCCCTCACTTTCGAGTCTCATATCATTGACACCCTGTCCTTTTGTTTAGATTTTAGAGGCCTTTGCTGCAGAGGACAATCACTTCATAAAGAATTGCAAGAGACTGATATCCCTGAGCAGTGCTGTGGCCACCATGCCCCAGTATGAATTCCGGCAGATCTGTGACACTAAGCTGGAAAGCATCAGCAGGAGGATCACGAGCTACCAAGAGGTACAACAACACTAGTTATGGGGGAAGTCTCAAGACAATTCTTCATTGTGATAAGTGAGTCTTGGTGTTCTGTATTAATGAATCCAAGCAGCTTCCGAGGTGGTGTCCTGGAGGCATGGAAACAGCTCTGCAAGTTACTGAAGTTGCAAGCTTTGAGTAAATCAGTCCTTTCTGCTTGTCAGAGCTGTGGGTTATAACATATTACTGCAGGTTCATTGCCACAACATTAATGAATAAATATGGCAGCAGAATGATCCATGTCTTACTGAACATGAAGCTAAGTACAGTGTATAATAGTGTCAGCAAAGTAGGTGTGCTTTTTTTGTGCAGTTACCTGAGCTCTTTGAAAAGGGTGCGCTAGAAAGTGTGGCTAATTGCTTTCATTTGTTGTTTTATGAGCTTCTTCTTGAATGTGCTATTCTACCTGCAGCAGAAACCTGGATTTCTGGAATGGGAAGCAGGAAGAGAAAACGATTGTCTGTATTGCATCATAATTTTTTGAAAATGAAGTAGCGCACACCTGCTTTATTTCTTCCAGTTTGCAGATGAACTGAAAACAAAGGTGAGCCCAGCCTTCAAACAAGCCATCATGGAAGCACATTCCCTGAGCAGCATGGATTTCTGCCCCACCAACTGCCACATTAACCTCATGGAGGTGTCCTACCCCAAGAACACTACCTCAGCAGGGAGGTCGTTCAGCATTCGCATCGGACGGAAACCTTCTATTATCGGCCTTGATCCAGAGCAAGGTGATAATTAACTTTCAAATCGTAATGATTTTTATCTGCCTAAAAAATTGTGATTTTCCACTGCTTGGCAAGGTCAAAATAAGTTCCAGGGAAACACAGACTTGCCAGTACCTTTTTTTCCCTCTTTAACATTGTGTAGTAACATGACAGCCTCCTTCTGTTGTGACACAGCGATGCCTTTGAGCACAGAGAGGCTTCAGGTCAGATGTTTTTGCTGGCTAAGCAGTGTGGGCATCTCACAGTAATCCAGGGTCCTGGGGCACTGTTGCCCTTGCTGGAGGCGACTTCCTGACTAAAAGTGACCCGGAATGCCAGTGCTGTGAGGAGAGGCTGCACTCGGGGGGCTGCAGGAGTCAGTCGCTTGGAGTGCTGGTTTCTCTTGCCATTGCTAAACAAATTCCGTGCATTGGAGCTGAAAGTCTGACTGTGTCAGGGGTTCTATTTTCTGTCCTTCAGCCTGGTTAGTTGGGTTCCAGCATTTCTTTATCATGATCTCACCTGATGTGCTTCTGTTTCGTTGACCTGTGAAGGTCAGAGTGTGGGAATGTTTGGAAGAGGGAAGTGTAAACTAATCAATCTTTTGAACATTGGCACTGACTATTCAAACTGAGGTCAATAAAGATGCTTGGAGGTATTAAATGTTAAACCCTATAGTATTTTTAATGTGAGGTAAAGCACAGCACTGTGAGGGCTGCTATGGGGAAAGGAGCACCATCTCAGCCAGACCCAATACAGGCGGTTAGCAAAGCACCACACCAGAACTGTCAGCATTTCTAAGTGAAAAAAAATTCACTTGTCTTCTGTAAGGACATAATCCTGTTTCCTTATGTATGTGTGTGAGTGTAAATGTTTGTAGAGGTGGAGTAATAACACAGACTCCTGAGAGTCCAAATTCATTAACTTTCAGCAAATGCTTTTAAATTCTCTCCATGTTGTCTGTATGAGTATATGTGTGGGCAGTTCCTGTCTTCAATAATTTAACCTTTTCCTGAACTGTAGTAAATTCAAAACATCTAGTTGGCATGCCAGGGAAAAAAAAAAACAACTCTTTTTCTCCAAATGTTTTTGTCATAGAATGTAATTATATAAAATAGTTCTGTGAAATTTTAGTTTTTCCTGTTAGAATTCCACCAGTACTAAACTAACATCACTGGGCTGGGGTGGGGAAAGTCATGAGAGCCACTCTAACCAGATCCTTTGATGTTTAGTAGGTACCTTAAATCCAGTCTCATATACTCAACATTGCATCACCACTATGGCTGCACCATCCTGGAGATGTCTGACCCCAGAAGATGGAGATCCTGAGGGTAGCTTTGGCCAGCAGAATGGAGGAACAACTCAGGAAGAAAGGGGACTCAGTTTTCTGCTCAAACAGGAAGATTGGGAGATGCAGGACTCATACTTGCAACTTTTTAACAAACTTGACATCGCAGTGAAGGAAATGAAGCAATATGTCATTCAGATAAATAAGTGAGTACAGAATCCTGTGTGCACTGGAGAGAGAAATTCTGATAACAGTGAGGCATTAACCTCAGAAAACACAGCCCCAGCTGTCAGCCTCTTTCCTCACCTGTTCACTCCTGCCTTTGCATGATGATCCTTGTGGGTCCCTTCCAGCTCCAAATATTCTGTGACAGCCCCTTGCTGGCTGGGTCAAATCTACTCCCATGAACATCCACTAGTTTATGTATTATTGTTCTTTGCTCCTAAAAATCTACCTGAATCTACCACCGTTTTACTTACAATATATTCCAAACTAAGAATATATTTGTTGTTAAGAGCAGTTTTGGAATCCATCTAGGCATTGAGATTTTGTCTCATGAAGCAGACTAAGCAAAACTTGTGATTTCAGGCGCGTTTCTCTGTGGCATCTGTGATTTCCTTTCCTCTTTTTGTCTTTCTTTCTCTGTCTCTCAACGTGGATCTCCTGGTAGCAGTAATGAAAGACTGAGCAGTGTGTCTGTGTATTGTGCACAACAGGCAGGGTTTTGGTAGCAGGGGCTGCAGGGGTGACCTGTGTGGGATGAGGCTGCAGGGTGCCCGAAGCCCATCCCAGCCACTTCCAGGGATCCCAGTGATGATCAGAACTGTTCATCATCATGCACTGTCCTGGTCTGACCCCAGCCAGCACCTCAGTGCCCTCCAGCGGGACTGGGGAGAGAGTCAGGAGAGTCGAAGAGAGAAAACTCATGGGTGGAGGTGAAGATGGTTTAGTAGGTGAAGCAAAAGCCCTGCACATGAGCAAATCAAACCCAGGAATTCATTCCCTGCTTCCCATGGGCAGCAGGTGTTCAGCACCTCCAGGAGAGCAGGGCCTCCTGTGGGAATAGGACCTTTTGGGAAAGGAGATTCCCAGGAATCTCCTGAGGTTTAGCAAGACTGAGTGGAAGGTCCTGCATGTGGGCTGGGGCAAGCCAGGGTGGGGAATGAAGGAATTGAGAGCAGCCCTGCCAGGGAGGATTGGGGGTGCTGGTGGATGAGAGGCTGGACAGAAAGCCAGTGATCCTGGGCTGATCCCACAGTGTGGGGATGGGGGGATTCTGCCCCTCTGCCCAGCTCAGGTGAGACCCCCCTGCAGAGCTGCCTCCAGCTCTGGGGCCCAGCACAGGAAGGACATGGAGCTGCTGGAGTGAGTCCAGAGGAGGCCACAGAGATGATCAGAGGGCTGGAGCAGCTCTGCTGGGAGGAAAGGCTGAGAGGATTGGGACTGTTCAGCCTGGAGAAGAGAAGGCTCCGGGGTGACCTAAGTGCAGCCTTCCAGTACCTGAAGGGAGCCAAGAAGAAAGATGAAGAGAGACTGTTTACAAGGGCCTGGAGTAACAGGGCAAGGGGGAATGGGTGACAGAGAAGGTTTGGATCAGTAGGAAGTAGTCTGTGTAGTCTCTCTAAACTTCTCTCAGGGTTGCTTGTGATTTCATGAAGCTGAATTAGCCTTGGTCACCATCCTTCGTTCATGAGACTGAGAGCTGTGTGTTCTACTTCTGCAGACTTCTGTCCACCATAACAGAACCTACAGAAGGTGGTGCCTGTGAGCCACCATCTGCTGAGGAGACATCTCCACCTTCCCTGGGAACAGAGGAGAGTGATCCTGACAAAGCTGAGCATGGTGGAATCAAGAAGGTCTGTTTCAAAGTTTCTGAGGAGGACCAGGAAGACTCTGGACATGACACAATGAGTTACAGAGACTCCTACAGGTTAGTGTGAAGATTGTACCACTTTTAACTTACTTAATAAAGTGTTTTAAAGTTCTAATTCATGGATCCAACAACCAGGTTGTTTTCCAGCCAGTCCATTATCTACTATTCACTTAGTAAAGTATTGACTATCATTACATTTATTATCATGGTGACGTAGACAACAAAAAACTTCCCCCAAAACAATGCCAAATTACTAAAGCTTCTAGAAAACTGAATAAAATTAAATAAATAGATCTAATGTGACTTTCCCTTTCTATATCTTATAGCTAGAAACTACAGAAGCCCAGCAGAATTTGCAGGCTGCTTGGTCTTGTAATAGCTTTTGTTGTAAGGGGGTGTTTCCATTTGGTTCTGTAACTGATTTTCCCAAAAGTCTAAGACACAAAAACAGAAACAGACATTGAGTTTTTTATTTTTAATGGACCTTTGAAACCACAAGTGCAAATGTTTATTCAGGTGTCTCAAAATCTTGCTTTGGGGGCATGATTGACTGCTGGTTCTCCAGGAATATTTGCTACCAAAAGAAATCTCACATACTCCAAATCTGTGTGTTTTGGGAGGAAACATTTGGAAACTGCTGAAGAAACAGTGGAATAACAAGTTGTAGGCATGTCTGACCACTGCAGTTTAACATCATTACCAGGCCATTTTTACATCTGTAGTAAGGCCCTAGAGCTGGGAGGATCCCAGGGATCTGAATGAATGCTGGGTCTTTGAGAATTCCCTGCTGCAGTCCTGGGGCTTTACTTGCTGTTGCTGGGCATTGGTACCAATAACAATAATTCCATCCATGCAGGGCTGCAGATCTGGCAGAAGGGGAACAGTTTGTGTTGGAAGGGGTCTTTGGAGCCCCCACTGTCCCATCTCTTGCTCAGGACAGGGACAAGAAGATTGGTTGCTCGGGGTCTTGTCCAGTTCAGTATTGATTGTCTCAAAGGACAGCAAGTGCAAAGTCAGTAAAGACAGAGAACGAGCACTTCAGTGCTGAGATCTGGGACATCTCTTTGTTGTGTGAGATTTCAATCTGCACATGAGCTCTGAAGCTTTTGGAGTGAAATGTGTTGTATTTCTTTCACTGTTAGTAGGAATCCCTGTTTAGTTTAAATCTCTGTGATTGAGGTTAATCTATTCTGGGTAATAAAGTGACAGCACAAACAGTCTCTGTGGGTTTGTCACTTGTTCCAAAATCCTACACATAATATAAGATGAGAAACATTATTCTGTCTTATCTTTATTAGACAGAGGCAGAGAATTAAGCATATATTACAGATAATAGTTACTCAAGGGGGAATAAAGTGTGTTTTAGTGGGTTTTGATTTGAAAAACTATCGAGCAGCTACAAAACCAAGCAAATTAGAGATAAGAAAATACCTTGTTTGCGTTAGTCATGCTGCTTTCAGTGGGATCATTTGGAGTGTAATTCATAAGGGTTTGTACAGCAGAGTAATTGCCATAAGTATTAATCTTCTTGAGAAAAAACAGATCCCTTTGATACTAGATTTAACAAAGGACCCCAATTAGGGTTCTTTCAGTTGCTCTTACATTTTTCCTTTCATGTCAGTCTAAAATAAAATCAGAGGAAGAGACAGTTTGAAGCATTTTGTAAGCTTTGTTTTGAGCTTCTACCATTAAAATCTCTGTCATTTCACTGGAAGGGGAGAGCCTGAGATCCACAGCCTTTTCGATTACTTTTATTAAATTAGAGTTAGTGTAAAGTGAACTTTAAAGAGAGGAGATCCACAGTAGAATTTTGCAGGTGTGCGTAGCCAAGATGAAGTGACTGTCGTGACTCCTCCGTTTCCTGAGGCAGTTTTAGGATCTGCAGTGCCTGATTCTCCAGTGGTATAGATTCCTTAAATTTGCTCTCCCGTCTCAGTACCTCTGCTACTGCATCCTCTCAGTGTGCTGGATTTGGATGCTGCAATACCCTGAGAATTTGTAACAACTGTTTAGTGGAGATCCAGTCTCACGGATTTTAGTTATTTGTCCCCTACTGGATGCCCTCAGAGCAGGTTTCCTGGGGTCACCCAGCTGAGGGTTCAGGGGCCCTTTGCATTATGTGCAGATCCAGGGGGATGATCTGGGCACTCAGTGGGTGCTACAACCAGGAAAAGCCAGCCTGGGGCAGCCCAGCCCCAGAGGCCTTGCTGAGGGCTGTTCTGTGTGTCACTGGTGTGCCATTTGCACACGTGGAACAGAATTAGACTGGGGAGGGGGCAGTGCTAATGAAGCCAGAATGCTGCTGTGCCAGGGGCTGGGTGTAGGGACAGCTTTTGTTCATCCCCTCTTTGCTTTGCTTTGTAGTGAATGTAACAGCAACCGGGACTCGGTGCTGTCCTACACCAGCGTGAGGAGCAACAGCTCCTACCTGGGCAGTGACGAGATGGGCTCAGGTGAGTGTGTGCAGGGACACATCAGATGGGATGGGATGGGATGGGATGGGATGGGGTGGGATGGGATGGGATGGGATGGGGTGGGATGGGATCAGATCAGGTGAGGGTGTGCAGGGACACATCAGCTGGGCAGGGATGATGGAACCAGGTGAATGTGTGCACAGGGCACAAGAGTCCTTCTCATGCTGGACCCTTCAGCACAGCTGGTAAGTCCTTGCTGATTATAAGCGCTTGCATATTTAAGTTGCAAATGTGGTTTCTTCAAAACTAGTAACAAGAACATAAAGGTAGAGATTTGCCTTTTTGTAATAAACCACAGTAAATCTGGAAGGTGGGAGAGGTATGAGGCAGGGATAAGTTTCTTTAGTTATTGGGCACTTCCATTATATGAAAATAATGAAAAAAATATTTTGATCTAAGAGCTGGAGATAAAGCAGCGATCATTGTTCACCCACCACTGTGAAGGTGTGCCCATGTCATCTGTGACCTCATCACAGGTTATGTTTGAAAGTTAAAAACTTTTCATCTCTCCTTTGTTAGGAGATGAACTTCCTAATGACATGAGGATTCCTTTAGACAAACAAGACAAACTTCATGGCTGTCTGGAACACCTTTTTAACCAGGTGTGTAAAGTGTTATTCTGAATTGCTTTCTCTATCAGTGTCAGTGCAAGAAATTTGAAGTACTAAACAGTGTTATCATATTTCGAGGAGGGCAAACTATCAAGATTTTGGGGTACTGTGAAAGCGAGTATATTATGGGATGGTTTGAGGAATCACTTTTGTCCACGTTCCAGTTGCCTCATGTGATTTAAGCAAGGCTGACCTGCCTTATCTAAGGCATGAGACTAAGGGGAAAAAACACTTTCATGGAAAAAGTCCTCCTGCTATTTGTCAGTTGTTCCAAAATACAAATAGTGTAATGGTTTGGGCATTTCCCCACACGAGCTCTGTTCTGATTTTCTGCTGCAAGTCTTATGTACACTGATGGATAATCAATTGTAGGTTGATGCAATCAATGCACTTCTAAAAGGACCAGGAATAACTAAAGCCTTTGAAGAAACCAAGCACTTTCCAATGGACCACAGTTTGCAAGGTAAAGAAGTGGGTTGATTGTGTTTATTAATGTGATTTCCAAGCCCTCAGAGCTTACTGTGGCTGCACATGTGTTATCTGGCCACAGAGTTCCTTAGCTCTGCAGTCTGCCCAGTCATGCATTACTGGCAGGTACCACTGAAATTTTCTGATCACTGAAATTTTGCATCTTTAAGATGTTGTTTTCATGGGAATTGCTCCTGGACACAAAGAGCACTGTTTTGTTACGTGCTGCTGAATCCTCGCAGCTCTCTCACAATTCTCCAAATCCCCCCTTTGATGTGAACATATCTGCAAAGGTACAAAGTAGGGATAGGTCAGATACAAGGTGAATGAGTGCTCTGATAAGCTGAGGAGGGGCTGACCTTTGTAGATCTGAGGCACCAAAAGGTTCTGCCCAAGTTTGCTTAATGACTTACTCTGCTTTTCTTCAGATGGGAAACTGCCAGGGTAAACTCATCCTCACATGACACTTATTTTGAAAACTGATTCCCATAGAGAGCAAACAGATGATACCATGTTTTCTTTTTCCTCAGGGACCGTGATGAGACTTTGGGTTTAGTGGTTTGGGGATTCAGGATGTGGTTTCTTGTCTCCCTGTAATCCACAGGACTTTATTTTCTGAACATTTGCTGCATTTCCTTTCCCACTTGAAATCTGAAATGTTTCCTACTATTCCTGCTGTACCTCGGGTGCTGTAGTCCCACTCCAGCTCCTGACAGTTACAGTGGCAAGCCCTAGAACTAGAGGGGCATTCCTGCTTTTTTTTCCTGACTCCAGGAATAACTCATGTGAAGTTCTGTTACATGAACTCATCTCTACAAACACATTCACATTTGTGTTGAGTGTTAGTCTTTCCATGCACTATTGGAGTGAAGTGCAGAAATAACAGACACTTCCTTTGTTTTATTCTACTTAAACAGTTTCATTATTAATTAATTAGCCTGAGACAGTCTTTTATTTAACTGATGATTCCTCTCTCATCACACTGAGGAACAGACAAGCCCCGCTTACACTCAGCTGGAATCCTGCCCCACAGTGTCTGTTTAATAGCTACCACAGACACCTTTTGGTGATGGATGGACATTGGAATGCTCTCCTGTTCCTGTCTTGGAGCAGTTACTTGGCACAGGTTTTCTCTGTTTCTCTGCTTATGCATTTTATCCCCAACCATGGGGTGTTTGGCTTAGCTACATCTCTAAGTCATGGAGAGTAAATTTTCTACTCTATAATTAAATGATTAGCTTCCATCAGGTGAAAGAAAGCAGAATATTTCAGAATTTCTCATCAGTATTGTAGGATGTGACAGCTGCAGCCAAACAGTTGATGTGATTCTGCACAGCCAGAGACTCCAGATCTACCTGACAGCTGAAACAGAGAGGGGTTCTGTGTCTGAGGAGGGGCAGAGCTCCCTGCTCTGTGCAGGTCCCACAGGCCCACAGTCCTGAAAGCAATGCAGGGACACTGCTGCTACTGGGAGTGTGGGAATACTCTTTTCCCTCTGTAATGGTTCTATTTAAGAAGCCTTTTTAATTCACAATTACTGCTATTGATACTGTGCCTCTGCTTTCCTCTATATTTACATTATAACTCCTAAGCCTCTCTCAGCTCTGGAGCATTTCCTCAAGGTCTGACACACTCCATGTTTTCTAGAATTTAAGCAGAAGGAAGAAACCACGGTTAGGTGCCGGAATAACATTCAAGCCAGCATTCAGGAAGATCCATGGAACCTTCCAGTGCGCATCAGGAACCTTGTTGAGATCATACAGAAACATGTGGAAGGTCTGTAAATGAGGAAAAGTTTGTTATTGGCTTCAGGGAGAAAAGATCTTGGTCTAGTCAAGCCCAGCAGTTGATTTTATACTCTGATCTCAGTTTGTGATAAGGCTGTCCTGGGCTCTAGAGAGGAGCAGGTAGAGCGTTATGGTTTGCAGAGTCCTGGTGCTGGATGGTAAAATTGCACCTGTGCAGCAATTCCAAAGAACTTTCCCCCCCTTATTTTATTTCATCAGCCCATTCAGATTGATATCAAACTGATCCATCTCCCTGTGCTTTTTAAACCCTTTTAGAAAATGGGGAGAGAGATGCTTGGTATATTCCACAGTGAAATGAATGCTAATCAGATGCTGCAACATCCTAACCTACTGCAGTCTGGTTGAGCTGAGACAGGAGATGAAGCTGATGTTTACAGCCCAGGGCAAAGCACTGGACAGAAATCACTTCCTTAGGGATTCACCTGCAAGTTTCATGGAAGTTAACACAGAGCATGTAGCCAGGAAAATTCTCTGCTTTACACCTTGGGTTTTTCAGTCACGAGCGTGTCTGTGCGAGTGGGGACTCTCAGAGTAAAGAGACTGGGGGGGGATTGGGGGAATGGGGAGATGTTCACCAAACACACATGCCTTGCACTGTGTTGACTACAGCATTCCTTGTCTTCTTCACTGTTTTAGATGGGAAGAATCAGCTGCTTTTGGCCTTGTTAAAATGCACAGGTAAGGAGTTTTCATTTGTTGCAGAAGTTCCTGAGACAGTTTTATGTGCATTCACGTGCATAGACGAGGATGTGATGTGTTTCCTTAGCATTTAGGGTTTTTTTCCCTGGCATTTTGTGCTAACATTTCTCCTGCTCTGCATCTAGGCCAACCTTCCCATGGATCTGATGTCTCTTCTTCAGTTTACATGATTTCAGTTCACTGAAGCCTGCCTGTGTTACCTGGCTGGTTGCTGTTGTTTCAGAAGCACTATTTTAATTTTTACTGTCTTCATTTTTTCCTTTGCACAACCCTCCTTCCCAGACAGCCTTTACTGCTTCCTGCTGTGGTGAGAACATGCAGCAAAAATGAGATGTATTGCACAATTTTCTGTGAGACCATGGACTCTGTCATCTTTCCAAGCAGAGCAGGCGTGTGGGGAGTTAGGATTGTCTATCCTGAAATTACAGCCAGAAGCAAAAAAGGACCCTAAATGTGCAGGGAGCTCCTAAATACACTGGGGACATCAGGAACCTGTTACTATGCACCAACCACTGTGCTTGCAGAGCAAGGGACAGGTCTTTCTGAGGAGCCAATGCACAGTCTTTTTGTAATTGTAGCATCTATTTGGTGTCCGTTTGTTTGAAAATGAGGTAATAAATAACTGGAATATGCTGTCATTGTTTGACTATGCCAGACTTGATCTCTCAGATTTTCATAGAGTGAAGATGAGAGACTCTGAGTTACCTCAGAGTTACCAGAGTTTCTCTGAGTTACCTCAGCTCCTGCCAGGGCTGGTCCATGAGTCTGTCCAAAGCAGCCTGTGGATTCAGTCTAGTGACCATAAAGACTGTTTTTACTGGTAATGAAATGCAGATATAACAAGTCCCGAAGTGCCTTGTCTATGTGTGCCCCATCTCCTGCAGCATTTTCATGAACACCCTCTGGAAAGAAGGATGGTTACCCTTGAGCTGAGAACATGGCCCAGGGCCTGGACTGTATTAGTCAGTCTGTGTTCAGTGCTTATAAAAATAATCCAGACATTCAAAGCCTCTGGGTGATGTCTTCAGCCTCTTTCCCTGGGGAACTCTGCCTTGCCAAGGAGAGCCTGCTGGAGGAGCTGGGGGTGCCTGGGAAGGAGCTCTTCACTTATTCATGTGCCTCTTTGGCCTGCAATCCCCTTAAGTGTGACAAGGTTGCTTTGACCAGCATGTGGCTGCCTGGCAGGCACACTGGAAGCAAAGTTAATGCAGGGGAAATTCTCCCAGGAAACATAAACCAATTGGTACCATACAGATGGGCCCAGTTAATGCATTAAGCATATGGGAAGCCCACAAAATACAGATGGATGGAGGAAGATTAATCCTTAAGAGACCAGGAGAGAAGTAAGGACAGAGACCTTTCAATAATTCTTTTGCTTCTGTAAACATAAAAAGAAGGGAATCAGTCCAGATATGTCTGTATCTAAGGAGCTGCAGCTCTTTCTAGTCAGAAGAAGGAGCTTGCAGATGGCAGAGAGAGTAATAAACAGTTACTGGACTAGAAAATTTTGCAAGCTGCATTTGTGCCAGTTATGCTGTCCTCATCTCTCCAGCCAGGTGACACAGCAAGGAGAGGTTATTATCTGATCAGTCTGTGCAAAGCTACAGTAGAGGCCGAATGTCACGTGCCCCCAACACAAACTGCTTTGTTGGCTGTGAGATGAAAGGCAGGTATACTCATGACTTCTGTCTGCTTCTCTCCCCTTCTCTGGCAGATACTGAGCTACAGCTGAGACGTGATTCCATCTTCTCTCAGTCTCTTGTGGCTGCTATTTGCACCTTTTCAGAGCAGTTACTGGCTGCTCTCAACTATCGCTACAACAACAACGGGGAGTACGAGGAGAGCAGCAGAGATGCCAGCAGGAAGTGGCTGGAACAGATCGCAGCCACCGGAGTTCTGCTGCACTACCAGTCTCTTCTGTCCCCCACCGTGGTAAGATGAGCTGGGGCACCCTTGGGTCTGCTCACACTTGGCTGTGTGATTCTGTGCCACTCACAGCACATCCAGAGCTCCTTATTCTAGCATGTTCAGACTCTCACTATGGCAAACTCTGGAGATTCCTGCTGCTGGCAACCAAGCTCCCATATTCCTTATCCCATATCCCATCTCCCTCACAAACACTGGACCCATTGTCACACCACACCACCATAGGAACCAATCTGCCTTCACATTTGGAACAACTGCTGCATTTAGGGAGGTTTTAGCGCCTGGCTGTTGGTGACACGAGTGTCCCCTGCCATCCCCAAACAGGCAGGAAAGTTCAGAGGATTGCAGGAGTTGGGACAAATGGAGAGTCCATCTCTCAGGTCTGTGGTGCTGGGGTGTGAGGTGCCATGTCTAAGGACAGGAGCCACATTTGCATTGTTCGTCTGCACTTAATGAGCACATGAGCCACAGCTACAGGAGATCAGCTGCCATAACTGTAAAAATGTTAAGAAAAGGAGTATAAAAAAGACAAGTAGCTCTGACATTATAGAAAATGGATTTTTTTTTTTTTTTTAACTGTGGAAATACTGTAGATTGAGTGTGGGGTTTTTTTATAAAATACAATCCAAACTATCTGTGTATGTAACTGCTATTTCTGTGCATTGCATGCAGTATATAAATATTTATTTTGCAGTAACTGATCAGCTGTTCTTCACAAGTTTAGGTATCGAGTAAAGCTTAGAGAAAGAGATCCCAAGGGGTGGTTAACCTTGTATGAGTTAAGTTAGTAATTCCCTGGCTGGGATGGAGCTAATGGAAAGCTCTGCACTCTGCTCTAGGTCTCCTCAACCAAAGTATGCCCATAACAACACCTCCTTCCTGCTAGGTAGTAACCTATCTGTGTGTGTTTCCTTGCTGTACATGCAGAAGGAGGAGCACACCATGCTGGAAGACATCCAGGTCACTCTGGCTGAACTGGACAAAGTTGCCTTCTATTTCAAGCAGCTGGATGAAAGTCTCGTAGCAAGTGAGTATTCTCTGTTTCTTTGAAGCTCTGTTTTGCTTGTTGTATGTTTTATGGGTTAATATCCTCTATGATTATAATCTAAGAGACCGTGTCAGACCTGGAGAGCACCGAGCAGCCTCTCTGTTGGAGTCCCTCAGTTTGCACTGCAAACACAGAGCATAAACAGCAGCACTGACAGGGAGGGGTGGTGGTGCCTGTTCTGTGCTGTGTAGCTGTGGCCTGTGCCTTATCAGGGTGACTTTGTACTGGGGAGGTGTCCCAGATGATGAGCAGTTCCTGACAGATGTTTGTTATTCACCACTGTGCTGAATCCTCAGGTCTCCAGTGTCCCACCCTGCCAGCTCTCTCTTCATGTTTATTGGTTGAGATGCCATGAAACAACATGGGATTTTAATTATTAACCACTTTTACTGTATTTGCATCAAACATCAGGCTAAATCACACTAACTAATATCTTTTTACGTGTCGTATGTCAGAGCCTGCATTCTCTCCATAAAGGCTCTCCCTTATTCATCTTACGGTGGAGATGGGAAATGTCATTAGGTAATCCAACCAACTCCCTTAGCAGTGGTTTCACAATTCCCCTGCTGTGGTAAAGCAGTAAGTGTTCTATCTTTATTTCTCCAGATACTCATGTCTTCTACCACATTGAAGGAAGTCGTCAGGCCTTGAAGGTTATCTTTTATCTTGACAGCTACTACTTCTCCAAACTGCCTGCTCGCTTTCAGAACGGGGGAAGCTTGAAACTGCACACGGTGCTCTTTACAAAAGGTGTCTATAAAAAGCTTTCTTGAGAAAAAATAAGCTTAGCTGATGATTCTGAAAGGTTCAAAATAAAGAATGACCATGAAGCTCTTAAAAAAAAGTGCAGCTGTGACCTACAGACACATTTAGGAAGCAGGTGCTTCTATTTTAGGAAGACCTGGGGAGTACTGGCTAAGGCACAGTCACGAGAACAAGATATGCCTTTTTGGGGCTTTTTTATGCCTTCCTCTCATGGCCATAGAGACACTGGACTGGAGTACGTGGATAGTCTGATCTAGTGTGGGATCAGGAGATGTGCCCAGGCTGCAGGGAAGTGTTTTAAAAAGCAAACAGCACAACAGAATCATCTGGGCTGGAAATTGAGTTGATAAGCAAATATTCCCACTAAATACAATACAGGACATTTCTTTAAAGGGACCTTTAATGGGGGATAATTGCTGTTAAATAAAGGTGCTTTCTGTGAAGCTCACCTTTAGGAAACCACCACTGTACTCCCATACTGGAAAAGGCACTAAATTTATGCAGTAACAGAACTGGCCTTGACATGATTAAACAATGACAAAGAGTCATCTGCTGAGCAATGAGATGATACAGAAATAAATAAATGTATCAAAAAACCCACTAAAGAACATCAGTTTAGTAAACTGTTTCCTTCTTCAGCTCTAGAGAGTATGGAGGGGCAATCACAACCAGCTGGCTCATCCCTGGAAGAACTCCCACAGCAAATTAATGGTATTTCACTTGAGAAAGTGCAGCAATACTACAGGAAACTCAGGTATTTTGTGCTTCTGCTTTGCCTTAAAAGACACAGAAAATTTCAGAGCACTCTTTCCTAAAGGCCTTAGAATTTAATGAAAAAGAGGTTCCATTTGTGTGGGGGTTTTGTACAAATAGGATTTTTGGAGGTCCTCATTGTATGGTAAACTTTTTAATTTTCTTCCCATGGATAAGCTTGTTCAGGAGTGCACTGTACAGGATGAAATACCCATCAAATTTGACCTCAGAATTTTGTGCAGAACTAAAATTATTTTTTTAAATGGATATTTGGAATATTTTTAACTGCAATCACAATAGTTCAATAAGAAAGCAGATCCTTGAGTACAGGATTTTTAGAATAGCTTGCTTAGCTGTTTTATACAAGATGATACACACAGACATGCTTGAATTGCGACAAACCAACTAATTTAGTCCTTGCTGGCCTTTTTGCAGGACATTTTACCTAGAGAGATCAAACTTGCCCACTGATTCCAATACTACTGCAGTGAAGATTGACCAGGTATTGTTGCTGTGTTTATTTCTGCAATCAATTCTCTCACACAAATGTTATTTCAACATCTCTAAATCTCAGCTGTGGGATACCCATATGGCACATCTGTACAAACCCAAACAGCATTTAAAAATGTTCCCTACCCTGAAGGGGTGAATTTCTCTGGAGCTTGGCTGCAGTTCTTTTGTTGAGATGAAAACGTGCAGAACCAGCGTAGATGCAGCCCCCCTACCTTGGCACTGAGGAGGCTCTGGGTGACCCTGCCTGCCCCTTCCCAACACTGGCTGAAGCCAGACAGAACAGGCTCATTTTCCTCTCCCACAGATGCATGAAAATGAACAAATGATCCATTTGCAAGTTACACTTTGTTCACAGTTAAAGCAGCAGGAAAATGGTGCTGCCCAGCATCTCGTGTGCAGGCAGTCTGTCTAACAGGGCAGGGCACACATGTGGATACTGCAGGTAAGGCATGAAAATGCTGCTGCAGGGAACACAAAGCCAGAGACCACCCTTGCAATTGCTCTGGAGAGGATGTATGGGATCTGTGGAAACTGCAAAGAACTGCCCCAAGCCTAAGTAATTATATTTTGCCACTTCCAAAGTTCATTTATATTCTGATTAGTTGTTCCTGTGTGGCACGTGCTCTCATGTAGAATGTTGTGCTTAGATATAGAATAAAGGCTTGTAAATATAAGTGAGGGTGTGACTGTGCCACTGACTGTGTTTGTGTTGCTTTGTGCAGCTCATTCGCCCTATCAACGCAATGGATGAGCTCTGCAGGCTGATGAAGTCTTTCATCAGCACCAAAGCAGCTCAGTCAGGATGTTCCAGCAGTCCCACATCAGGAGCTGCCTTGCTGCCTGTGTCCTCTGAGCTCTGTTACCGCCTGGGGGCCTGTCAGATCACCATGTGTGGCACTGGGATGCAGAGGTGAGGGTTGAACCTGGGTGCTACTGCTGGGGTGAGAACTTCTATCCTTCCTACAGATTTGATTCCATTCGAAGCAAAATAAGGGAAATTTTAAGGGAATGTCATAAGGACCTAAATCTACTAACATATTTACTTCGGGGTAGGTTGTGACTTATATTTAATAGTGTTAATAATTAGTATTGACACACAAAAGTTTTTGTGTTTTGGTGCATCAGCCAATGCAACTGAGTGATCTGAGAGCACAGAACTCGCTGTCTTCAGTCACATACTGAAAATGCAGGAAGTTATTCAGATTGATTTCTAACACACTGTTCTTCCAGTGTCTCAAAAGTCAAGATGCATTTGTGAATCCCTTTAAATGAATCAGTGCAGAAGAGCAGTGACACACAGCCTTGTAGTAATGATGCTGAGACTCAAACAGCTGCAGTATTTAAGTGTAACAAGACTGGAAATGTAGGAGTGAGGTAATTTAATAGTTCTGTAGGTTAAAAAAAAACCTAAGCAAGTAAAGAGCTGACAGAGCAGGTAAGTGTCCTGTACATACATATTTATATTTTTTCAAACTGATCTGTGATCTATCTCATGTTCCCTCTGTCAGGAGTACCCTGAGTGTGTCCCTGGAACAAGCTGCCATCCTGGCCCGCAGCCACGGCCTCCTGCCCAAGTGCATCATGCAGGCCACAGACATCATGAGGAAGCAAGTGAGTATTTGGCTGTGGCTGCTGCACCCCCTGTCTTCCTCCCAGGGACATCGTGGCACAAACACCAGGTTATTTTGGTGGGCACTGTGTTTTGTGCACTCCAAACCCACAGAGCCAAACTTATGAATTTATTAACTTGCCAGTGTCTGAGCAGCTACACCTGTGTTTGACAGGAACAAATGAACTTTTGCATGTGTAGCCATTACAGCAGTTACAGTATATGCCTCAGTGTGCATTATTTAAAGTGTGTGCCTTGATGGATAGACTGTGCAGCATATTTAAGACAATTTCAGTACAGAAAAAAAACCAAGTCCCAACCGCAGTGTTAAATAGCAGAAATTCCCTAGTGCTAAGACAGCAGTGCTTGTAAAATGCTTTGGGACTAATTCCATCCTTTAAGTAAACACAGATGACTAATGTATCCACCCAATGGATTCCAAAGCTTCTAGAAGTACTTAATGGATTCTCAAATAGGAACCATACTCCCATTATAATATTTTCCCCTAAGGATCATCAGCTCTATCGATACTCTTAGTACCATAAATTCTCTGCTTCCACAGGGACCAAGGGTTGAAATCTCTGCCAAGAATCTGAAAGTGATGGACCAAATGCCACAGTGTGCACCTCGGTAGGTTATTATGTATTGTGCATTTTCTCTGAGTGCTGGTTTTATGCTTCTGGAACAATTGTGGAGTTCCTGTTATAACCAAAGATGGTCCTAGCAGCAATACTGGAGGAAAAAAAAGAAGAATCCTGTGCTTCTTTCTCCCTGTACTAAACTAAGTGCACTGTAGATTAATCAGCTTTGCTGCTTGCAATTTGTAGATCATCAGCTTCAAAGACCTTCTGCATTTTCTGAGTCAAACACAGCTGATCTTTTTTGGACTGTTGCTGTGAGTTGGCAGAGCTGGTCATTGACAGCCACGTGTGGAATGCTTAGAAAGAAAAACTCCTGAACAGCAAGTTTGAGTGCAGAGAGGCAAAGATAATCCATAAACTGATACTGCTGTGTGCTTACAAGAGCCTGATGGCTGAGTTCTGGCAGAGCAGGTTTGAGAGCAAGTGCTGCCAGTCAGAGGAACCCCCCAGTAATGCAGCCCTCAGGAGGGGCAGCTGCACAGGTTCTTTCTGGGTTTGTCTAGAAGGCAGCTTTGAAAAGCTCTGTACATTTGTGTATCCCACTGCACCTAAAGGGAGCTCGACATGTTCACCTCTCTCTGCAGGAAAAGAATAACTTTATTTTTAAGAAAAGTATCCCTGATCATTTTTTTCCAATTTCACCTCTCAGCAATGAGAAAAGAATTTTCTTTAATAAACCATAACACAGAATTTCCCCTCAATGGCAGTAACAAATCATCGTGGTTTAGATGCCAATATGTACAGGATCCATCTGTAAAAATATGAGACAACTTCTGATTTTGCTCATTAATGGCATTGTTTACATGAAGGCAAACCAGTAACTGCTATTCCAAAATGGAATAACACAGTGGTGTTGGCTCCTGGACCGTGGCCCCAGTGCCATCCATCAGATTTTGGCAGGGAGGTTATTTTGCCTTATTAACAGCTGTATGTTACTCTGGTTTCATTTTTATGACCATACCAGCATGTTACATCCAAAAAGAAATAGCTTTACAAACAAATCAGAAAATGATTTGTTTATGTTGAGTGTATTCTTTTGAATATACTCCAAATCACAATGATAAATTCCAGGACTATTTACTTATTTCAGGGTTATTTCAGGGCAATAAAGCTCGGATATGTGTGTTCCTACTGGGTTCCACCATCATAATGGGAAATAAAACTGAGCACTAAGTTAAAAGGAGATCTGGTGAATTAATATTAACTCTCAGGATTATATTTCCTAACACTGAGGTTTGTCAAACTCTCTAACAGCAGTTTGAAAGAGAAGTTATAAAAGACTTGGGTTTACTCAGATGAAAAGAAAACAGCCAAGAAAAAGCTACCACAAAGTCATACATGAATGACAAGTGCTTAGGTTTAACCACTGCTCTCAATTTGCTAATCTTGTGACTCAAAAAATTTCTCAGAAAATATGATTATTAAATTTAAAGTTTGTTCAACCACATCAACAAACAAATATGTTCTTTTATGTGCTTGGTATTCCAATTGAGGGGGAGCAAGGGGGAACTCTTTTCTCAGGAAAAATGCTGGACTGGGTTTAAAACCAAAGGAAGTGGGACCACTGAAGACCCAAAATTAAAGAGTGCTAGAAAGTCTCAATTAATGTTGTAAATGATGATTATAAATACCTCAGTTAACAAATCACCAGTGGCACTTCTAAATTTGCAATGATTAAGATTAAAAATAATGATATTCTTGATATGGCATTACCTCTAAAAATTGCAGAACGACAAAGGAGCTGCTGACTCCCATATACGATGGCAGTAACTTCGTTATTATCCTTGTGATCTTTAATTCCCTCTTCTTCCTCTGCCCCAAAGGCTCTATAGGTTGTGTCAGCCACCTACAGACGGGGATTTATAGAAGTGGGAGCCGCTGGTGGCAGCACCACGGGAGCAGCCCTGCCCAGGGACCCATGAACTGCCCCTGCCGGTGCTGCTGTGGCTGGGGGAGATGGACCTGCTGCCCCAGGCCCCAGGAACCTGCCTTTGAGCTCCTGCAGCACCTGCAGGATTCTGTGTTTCTTTGACTTCTTGAAGAAATTCTTGAAACCAACGCCCCGGGGCGGGGATGGACGTTCTGCCGTTTGCCAGGTGCCTGGAGAGGTGACCCCTGTTCTTCAGGAAAGTGCAGTTTTACTGGAGACTTGTTTGTGCTGCCACCTGAGAGTTGTGGACTTGGGGTTCTGGCTTGGTTCAGGAGGTGCTGGGGGACTCGTGTCTCTCTCCTGCACTGCCAGCAGGATTTTGGTCGGCGTCCTCGAGCAGTGGCTTCAGAAACACCACTTCTTCATGAACTGACCTGCACTTTTGAACAAAGAATAGCACAGTCTATGGTTTATTCAAATAATGAACATAAAGAATTTCTTCTGGAGTCATTTTCCACTTCAGCCCAGTGAGAGCCAATCTCTCTATGCTGCAGAGTATACATTCCATAATACTTCTTACCATTACTTCATTTTACTTACTGTAGCTTCCAGGTTTTTGATTAACTTTTTACTAATGCCCTATGATTATGTACTCTGGAATACAGTGCTAGGGAAGAAGAGAGACTGGGAGTGAAGGATTTTAAAGGAATCTTTACAAAGGAAAAAAATGCAGTCTTATAATCTGATTATTTGAACAGATGTAGTTTTTAAAACAGGTCAGAAGAACTATACTTATTTATGTGGAGTGGAATAATATGTGTTTTCGATCATGTTATTATATATACAAGATTTAAATAAAAATTATATTGTTTAAAATGGGACCAATATGCTGGCAGTTACACAGCTACTCCCAGTTTACTGAAAAAAATCTACATTATTTAAAATCTTTCAATATTTAAGTAGTCTTTAATACAGTTATTAAGATGTATTAGGGATGCTTTTAAGTTAAAAGAAAAAAAAGGAATCGTGTAAATAATGTACTTTATTTTTTTCTCATTTGAAAAGTTGTTCTCCATTCTGTCAGTATTACCCTAAGCACAGTGATTTTTTTTCCAAATTACTGGCTGAAACTAATCAAAACATGTCAGCAGTCTCAGGATAGAAATAATGTTCCTTTGGAGTGAGTGCCTTAACATGACCACCCCTCCCTGGCACAGCAGGTGTGCAGGAAACTCCCCATTGCTCCGATTCTCCGCAGCCTCCTTGGAACCAGCTCCCAGTCAGGAGGTGCAGGAGCGCTTTGCAGTGATGTATATTCTAGAAAATAAAGGCTTGGGGGGGTTAGTTTTGATGTTGTTTGGTTTTTAGTTGTCTTCATTTTATTTTAGTAACATCCAAACCAACTCAAAACCTAAAATTAGATGTTTTCATTTGGACGTGAAGGCCTCTAAAGTTTTTTCAATCCTCTCTTCAACACAAAATGGCTTATGACAATTTGGGGGATGCAGATTGTTCTGAACCTTGTTCCTTAATTTTTTAGTATTTTTTTTCACTCACAGACTAAAATAATTTTGGGGAAGGAACATGTTTTATTTTGATCTCTTAACTGTTTCCTCTGACCTACAGCAGCCTGTTTAGATCCTGGTGCTAATAACAACAAGGTCATGGGCTCCATCCCCCTTATGGGCCATTCACTAAGAGTTGGACTCAGTGACCCTTGTGGGTCCCTTCCAACCCAGAATGTTGTGTGAAATATTCAGCTCTAACCTGTTGCAGGGAACTAGGACAGCCCATGGATTGCCCACCGTGGGATCCAGGGCTTTGGTGCTGGGTGTCCATTCTGGACTGCAGCCAGATGAGCAGATCACTATTTCAATGCACTTTTTGTTAATTTTGGGAGAGTTACTCATACCATTTGCTGTTTGAATTAAAAATGGATGTTTCTTCACTGAATCCTCAACTTAAAATGTACTTAGTATGATAAGAACGGTAGGAACACCCAAAAGTAAGAAAGAACACATAGGGCAAGCCCTGGCTGTGTGTCCACCAGCTCAGCTCCATGGAATGGCCTGGGCAGGATCCTGGCCCGTGTCTGCAGCCACTGCCAACACAGGAGATGCAGAGAAGGGTATCTAAGGGCATTGACACTGTGCACTGTTTTACACTGAAATGTATATGTAAATCTCACTGAAAACGTAATAGAAGTTTTTATTATTAAAAGCTGGTTTATATTATAAGGAAAGAAGGTATGATCTTATTTTCTGTTGTACCCTTCAGTTTCTTAGCTCTAAGTTCTGTTGAGCAGTTTAAGCTCTGCTACTTGTATGGAATGATGAGGAGTCTGAAGTTAAAAGAGTAAGGGGAAAGCTGGGTTTGATATCAACTCAAGTTGGCAGCGTAGAGGTGAACTCATCCTGTTTGTGCAGCCCCTACAGCTGTGGTTTCACTGCAGACTTCCTGTTAGGGTAGAAAAGAAAAACTGTTTTGATGCTGGAAAACTGTGGGGCTTGAATCCAGTGCTGGCAAAGAACAGGTTCAAGTGGAAAAAGAAGTGGGCAATTCACAAACCAACCCCCAAGCAGAGAGAGATTAGATCTGTGGAATTTCCAGGGCTAAAAGCAAAGAGTAAGGCCTAGCACAGCTGAGCAAGTGCAGATTTTGTAGATTTGGAGCATCTGATACAGTGGATGTGTGGAAAATATGGAAAACAGTCAAGCTGGAGAACATGGGAATTTGCAGCATGATAATGAGGTGTGTAAGCAGCTGGCTAAAGGACAAAGGACAATGCTGAAGAGAGTGGAGTTGGGTGGCAGCTGCAAGTGGAATTTCTTACGCATGTGTTTTGTAACTGAATTTGCTGAACCATTGCATTTGCACTGACCACTGAAGAACAGATCTGAGCAGGCTGGGGTTGATGCTGAGTTGGGAGACACTTCTCTAGCAAAGGATCCCAGTGCACACACAGAAACCCCCTGTAGGACTTTGAATGCTGAAGGGGATGAAATGAATGGGATTAAATTTTGCAGTACAAATATTAGCTCATGCACTCAAAGACTGAACAAAATATCCTGCTATATTTCTTGTTAATTGATAATAAAAGGACCTTGGTCGTAGAGTTTGTCACAAGATGCTGCAGAGGCAACTTGATAGAATCTTGAAAGCTCAGCCTGCACTAGGAGGCAAATGGTGAGGGATGGTGAGGTATTCACACATATTGGCCAAATAATTAACTAATTATGTGAAAATTGGTAGCTAGGTGTTGGGGAAAACAGGTATCTTTATAAGAAGAAGGTAATGAGAAAGGTAAAGACAGTTCAGTGTAAATATAAATACAGCCTGAAGGAAAAAAAGGGGTACAAAGGATAAGGGATAAATATTGGCTGAAAATTCTTCTGGACCCAAGAAACATTTTTCTCCAGTCGGGCTCTGTCAAAAAAAGTGACCTCAGTGAAGGCTGAGGTGGTGCCTGGCTGAGAGGGACACAGCCCAGCCCAGCCCAGCCCTGCAGAAGCTGCTCTGGCTGGGAGAGGAGCTGGGGGAACAGTCCTGCTTTTCTCCTGGCCTTTGCCAAGGTGCAAACAGCTTTTCAAACCCAGGCCTTGGCCACCTGCCAGCATTGGGCATTTTCCTATTCCACTCTTCATTTGCAGACTGAAAGACTGGGATTTTTAGATGAGAAACCACAGCTTTAGACAAACATACATCTCATTTCCATCTGGAATAAAAAACATTGACTAGTCCACCTGAACTCTGGTAAATTCTTTTTCCTCTGTCGTATTTTCTTATCAGCAAATACTGCTAATTAGGGAATATTTTGAGCACTGTTTGTTTCGTGGTTCTAAAGTGATATGAAGATATAAAACACTAAGGCCTAATAATTGGGAATTTCATTGTAAAAAACATTTGAAACAGTCCTAATTCTATGACAGTTCATATGATGTTATTTCATCTGTCCTAACACTTGTCATTATAAATGTCTGGCATAGTTTGTAAACACTTGGTCATTGTTAACTGGTAAAATGGCAAAACCCTCAGCAAACAGCTCATGAAATCAGCTTATTCACAAAAGCAGGCAGCACACAGCCTTACTCCTAAGATAGCATTGGTTAATCAAATTACCCAACACAGTTTGTACCTAAGACTAGTGTTTGTGTAGCACCAGTGTTAAAATATGAAGTTCAGATTTGCCATTCACACAAGGCTGCAGTAGCTGTTCATCTGCACAGGGAAGAAAAGCTTTCAAACAGCAAAAGGTATTTTTCCCACCCTGTAGTGTGAGAGCCATGGCTTTGATTAGCACAACAAACCCCTGCCATGCCATTGAGTTCTGAGCCTTCTGCTCCTTCCCAGGCAAAAGTCCTTTCTGTTTCCCCTCAGGTGACACAGTGCATATACAGTGTTGATGGGGCTGTCACAGCATCACTGCCCCTCATCACCAAAGGACACTTTCTTTAATATAAACTGAGCAAATTGTTGTGTCCTTCCATTAATTTCTGTGTTCAGCCTCAGCAGGCTCCCCTGGTTATACTGAGTAATTCACATTTCCTTTCTACAGCAGTTTGGGGAGGGAAGGGGAAGTTTGTGTGCACTGGTGCTGTGAAGATTCAAAGGAGAAAAATTGTTAACTGCTTCGAAAGCTGATAGTGCTTTACGTGTATAAAACAGTTTTAATGACTTGAAAAAACAGGGAAGTAGACAGAAAAAAAGGATAAACATCCCAATGACACATAAAAGTCTCTGCTTATATTTCCCATAAATAAATTAATTGAGAGTAATTGGTAAAAGAAAAGGGAACTGAGTGTATTTTTAATGTACTTCCTCTGCCTCTTTTCAGCATTCAGAGGCTGTGCACTAATACTATCAAGGAACCTAGTAAAACATACGTGTTCTCATTAGGGAAAAGGAATATTTGTGTGTAAAGTTTCTCCAGACTTCCTTAACTTCACCAGTTTCTGCTTGATTTGAAGAGTATCAGAATTCAGCACATAAATAAACTTCAGGTGAATAATATTTTAAAACTGTGGTCCTGGCAAGAGGTTATTCAGTTGTGCTTGCAGAGTAGCACCTTTCACTTTGTTAAAGAATATCCCCCACTTTGCCATTGTTAATTGAGAATATTGTTGAGGTCCTTCCAGTTGTCAGCCTTTATACCCTGAGAATCAGGCTCTTACCCACTCTTGAGATCATGTGTACCAGAAGAAAGATTTGTTGGTACCTGCATCCTAATCAGCTGAAAGGGTTTCACCTCTGTGTTCTGACGCCCACAGTGGCATCAGTGGTGAATTAAAGAGAAAGGACCTGATTATCTTAGAACAAAAGGCTTGGTTGTCGTAGTTAAGCTTTCACAGATGTTTCCAGATGAGCCAA